TACTGCAAATGATATTACAGATATACATATAGCAAGAAGAGAATCAAATAATACTAAGACGGATGCAGATGTCAGCCAGTTCCAGTTGCAATTCCAGTTCCCATAATCTCTTAATCGTTATATTACGTTCCCTATACTCGTACATATTGTATGGTTCAAGAGTTCGTTTGGAAAAAATATACTCGAACAATACACTGAAATTAATAAACGTTTTTGCGATACGATACCCTTGATCTCCGATATATCCACATACGTATTATGTATACAGTATACCCTATGTATAATCAGCAATCGCGATATTACAATTACAATATTGTTGTAAAATATTTAAATTTACATGCCAGAAGCAAACCAAGAGCAAAATTATATACATATTATTCATTTTGAATTTATTCTCGATTTAAATTAATTGTAAACGCGCTTAGGTTTACTAACAAACTTCAGACGGGATAGGGGCATAGTGGGACAACATCACAGGAGCATAGTCGGACAGGACTGAACGGGGCAATACGAATGCTCGTAATTGAAGTAACAGACGGACACGGACAATGACTCGCGACGCGACGTATCGTATACTCCTGGGACAGAAATATGAAAGAATTGATTATTTATTAATTAGTTGAATGTTATTTAACTTATATGCATTATTCTAAAGATTACTGAAACCCAATTGTAATTACAATAAATTAAATTGCAAGGTTGAATTTCCGGCTCTGCTTCTCTGTGCTTTTTCGAATGCGAATTTGCTAAACTATAACATACATATATTGTTACAATAGGGGTACGGTACCCTTTTACCAAGTGGGGCGGGGCGACAGTGACTAGTAAAGCTTCTGCAGGTCGTTCAGCGACTGGTTGAGGAATTCGTTGGTCCAATCGTTCTCCGGGTTGTCCAGGTGGTTGTCAAAGTCAATCACATCGCGCATGGCGCCTCGCTTCAGCAGCAGAGAGACGCCTTCCAGTGTCTGTGCCGACTGCGACAGTGTGAACTTGGCCTTTGACCATCGGGCAGAGTCGCCCGCACAGCTGTAGACCTGAATGGCGGCTCGATCATGCTCCAAAGTCACCAGCTTGTTGTCCACCAAAGCGAGGCAGGCGTTCTTGAAGTTCTCCTGGATCTTGTCAGCGATTTTTACGGCCGGCGCTTTATCTATCTGGTTGTCGTAGAAGTTCTCTGGGGCCGCATAGTATCCGGCAATCACGAGGTCTTCCTGTTCTGCATAGGCATCAATCTGAAATGACCCAATTGTGAGCACACCACACATGTCACGATGCGCGGAAATGGGCAATTATGCTTGCGTAGCCCGCAACCCACCTGCATAAGGGCAATCTCGGCCATGGGGGCGACGTGCAGGCATTGATGAAACAGCGGTATTGCATCCACGATCTCCACCAGCGACCCTTTCGATGTCTTTTCGGCCAGAAGCAGACCGTTCACTGCCTGGTGGGGATATTTGGCCGCATGGAATATCAGCTTCGTGTATGCGCGCTCGGATATCTTGTAGTCGCACATTTTATTTGATCACTTTAGGAATTTATTAAAAAGAAGAAAAAAACACGGTCCCGTTCAATCAATTAGCTGGCCTTTGCGCAGGGCTGGACACAATATCGATATACTTGTGCAGTTTTGGTATCGAAAATGTTATCGATGGACTACACAACTGATGAAATGACTTCAATTTTATATTTATTTCAAACTAAAATTTACATTTTATACTACGTGCATGATGGAAAACATTACTAAAATATGTATAACATTTTATTTCTTAACTGTCCGTCAGCGTCCCGTTCTAGTTTTATATCTTTTCTTTTAGTTTTGCGGTTTAACTAAAAAATTGTTTGCAGTTCAGCTCCATGCCCACCAAGGGCAATCGTTAAAAGAGGAAACTACGTCTGGTTGTCGTGTAATATTGCCTTGATATCGTCAGCATCCAGAGTCTCGTACTTTAAGAGAGCCTCGGCTAGCGCCTTGTGCTCCTTGGTATGTTTCTTCAGAATGGCCTTCGCCCTCTCGTAGCTATCGCTGAGGATGCGCTTGATTTCGGCATCCACCGCCTCAATGGTGTTTGGTCCCAGGGTCTCCCCGGTGCCCAGACCCTTGCTTGGCTCAATCGTACGCAGACCCACCTTTTCAGACATGCCCCAGTCCTTGACCATATGTGTGGCAATAGAGGTAGCCTGTTTGAGATCGCTGCTGGCTCCCGAGGTTATCTTGTCCAATCCAAAGATGATCTCTTCGGCAGCACGTCCGCCCATCATGGTGTCCATCATGGCCAGCAGCTGGGCCTTAGTGACATGGTATCGCTCCTTCTCCGGTATGTACGCGGTGTGTCCTAGCGACGGGCCGCGGGGCATGATGGTTACCTTATGCAGGGGATGCGACTCCTTTGTGTAATAGGCGACAATCGCATGGCCACCCTCGTGGTAGGCCGTAATGGTGTTTGCCTCCTCATCGGGCAGGCGAGCTTTGCGCTCGGGGCCCATAAGTACCTTGTCTCGTGCTGTCTCCAAGTGCTTCATGTTAACCGTCTCAGCTCCGTCGATGGCAGCTCTGCAAGGGATATCATTCTTAGTTCCACTCACTGGCCATTCCCGTTAAATCTACCTCACCTTAATGCCGCCTGGTTAATCATGTTCTCCAGGTCTGCACCCGTGAACCCAGAGGTGCCCCGTGCTAGCATATCCAGATCGATATCATCGTGCAGAATTTTGGTTAAATACAAAGAGAGGATTTCCTTGCGGCCAGTAAAGTCTGGTGTGGATACCACCACCTCGACATCGAAACGACCGGGACGCAGTAGAGCCTGATCCAGGTCGTCACGGCGATTGGTGGCACCCAACACAATGACGCCAGCATTTTGATGGAAGCCATCCATTTCGGAGAGCAGCTGGTTTATGGTTTGATTCGCATACGGATGCAGCACAGAGTTTGTCCTCTTCGCGCCCACCGAATCAATTTCATCGATGAAGATCACACACGGAGCGCGAGCCTTGGCCGCCTCTGCAGAAAGTGTGGATTAGATTGAAGTCTCTAAAGGTAGCAAATCGTACTTACTGAACAGATCTCGCACACGTCTGGCGCCTTGCCCAACGAGAACCTCGTCGAACTCAGGTCCGGCGGCATGGAAGAATGGCACTTTGGCCTCGCCTGCCACGGCACGTGCCAGCAGGGTTTTTCCAGTTCCTGGAGGTCCAACCAGGAGCACACCCTTTGGAAGCTTGCCGCCTAGGTTCGAGAACTTGTCGGGATTCTTGAGGAACTCAACCACCTCTTTGAGCTCCTGCTTAGCTTCGTCGCAGCCCTTGACGTCGTCGAATGTGACATTGATTTCCTCCGGATCAACTTCCACCTGGTTACCCAGCTGAATGCTACTAAAAGCGACCAACATTAATTCTGCTCTAGCGACGCCTGGATTAATGCGACGACTTACCGAAAGACGGAACCGTTCGAAGTGGTAAAGAAGCTCAGGAATATGCCAATAAAAACGACAACAACGATGAGTGTCTGAAATATCTGTGTGATAATTACTGGGCATTATTTGAGAAATTAGGCGACGAGGTTCCAACGGACAGGGAATGTGCCAAAATATTTAATTGGCCGAACTTAAATAATACCTTCAGATACTTCATTGTTTTGCCCGTTTTTGGTGAATCTTCCGAGTTTGCTGCGGCCAAATACCCCTCGGCAAATGCAATCTTCAGGTTCTCCTGGAAATTCAACGAATATAAGAGCTAGCCAATCAAGACTGCCCTGCATCTTACCGCGTTGTGGGTGGCTCCGTGTCCTTCGGCTTTGGACAGTAGCTTTCTCATTTTCTCCCCCTGAAGGTTGGTTTCCCCATCTAGCTTTTGTGATGTCGTCCCCAGTGCGTTCTTCAGTCTGGACGTCATCGTTGGATTTCGTTTCTGCTCCGCATCTATGGAGCGATCTGTCTTGAAGCCGCGTAACTGCCTCCTGTTGGAAAATGAAAATTAACAAGCGCCCGTGTCCTCGGCTGCCTCGTTGGTACTCACAGTTGATGGTAGGAGAAGAGCGGATTTAGAAGACTTTGCGTTACGATTGGATACATTTTGCTGAAATTGAATTACAGATTAACAAGGAACAAGTGGAGTTATGGATGGATTGATTTACACGTGTGCGCCTATAGACTGGGCGCCTGCTGCCCCGTCCAAAGAGACATCAAACTGATAATTTGTTTGCTGATCATGGGTGATCTGTGTAACTGGTTCCACTAACGTGACGTGAACATTTCCGATGGCGGGCAGCATGCGAGTCACCTTGGCGAAGGCATCGTTCACCAGCACCGTGTCCAGAATTCCGTTCAGCCTGACAGCCTTCTCCACCATGCTCTGTATGTTGGCGCCCGACCGACTGAGCAGGTTCTTGAACTCCAGCACGAGCTCATGGCACTTGCCCGTCGTCGTTGGCTGTGTGGACGACTTTGATTTGTCAGCAAAAAGGCGCGCCGCCCCAGCTCCTCCTGGCAGCTTGGTACGCTTCACAGTGTAATAGTGTGGTTTTCTACTAAAGTTGCCAAGGTAGAGGTAGGGCTGTCATTAAACGTAAGAGGAAACGAGCGTCAGTGATGAACGGATCAGCGGCAACGGGCGGTGGTTGGTGGCCCGTGCGGCGCGCACATGCACACTTACCACAGAGTGTGTGGTGGCGGAGAACATTTCCAAAAAATACAAAACTTTAATTAATTACAATAACAGGCTCTGGATCGGGCCAGCAGACGACACAGCTGTAACTTTACTTGACAGCGAAAATGTCATAATCTGCGTGCGTGTTGCATCCCTGGCACTAGTTGTTGTGCTTGTCATCAGCCCTGCACGCGAATATAGCAAAAATACTAGCAATTTTTATTATATTTTATCTGTTACAGTATCTAGATGCGTTTTCTGTTTTTGACAATTTTTGCGCTGCCTTTTGTCTGTGTTTAAGGTTGACTACAAAATGACAATATCATTTCCGCATTAATACATCATAATTGAAAAGAGCTAAAACAGCGCGTGCATTTAGACAGTGCTGCTTCCGCTTTTTGCCAGGGCTGGCAAATAACCTGAGCCGGCCGCCCCCAATCTTCTATACCGACAAACTATTTCATAAATTCTCCATTAAATTGTGTCATCATGGATTCGCCGTTGAGTGATGGCTCCCGATCGCCTCAGCAACAAAATCTGCACCCACTGGTCAGTACAATGGGTTTTTTTTGTATCAATTATTTAATTCAATTGTTAATTTTCAGGCAGATTATCAGTTCTCCGCGGAGGAGGTGAAGGCGTTACGTGAGTGCAACACCGAATCCTTCCTCCAGCGCTCGCTGCCATTTGGCACTGGTCTGGGGCTATTGGCCTACTTTGGTGTGAAGAACGGCTACTTGCAGGGCAATGGCAAATACGGAGCTGTTCCCAAAGTGGTCATGGGTGTCATCCTGGGCTACTTTGTGGGCAAGTTCAGCTACCAGCAAAAGTGCGCTGAAAAGATAATGCGGCTGCCGAACTCCCGCCTAGGCGAAGTCCTGCGCCAGCGCCGACAGGGTGGTGGTGTCATCAACACCATCTCGCCAGACGAGAGTCTGACCCGAGCATTTACATTGGCTCCCTTCTCGCCCAGCTCCGCTGATGTGTACACCGATGAGGGACTCAACCCTTCACGCAGCACAGCTTTGAACTTGGACACTGAATCACGGCCGACTTTGGCTGGCTTAGATGACATATACCGGCCCAGCCTGGACTGTGAGTAATCTGGACTGATTTCATTGTAAATGTTTTAAACTTCCTTTAATAACAGCATCTGGCCAAATGATGGACACTGAGCTGCCTTTGGAACCGGCAAAGCCAGGACAAACTTACGAAGATTTGCGCAAGAAGAATCGAGAGGGGTACGCGACGCATCAGCAAAGTCCATACTCAAAGCCCTACGAGCCTCAGGCGCCCGTTCGGCAGCGTCTTGTCGAGCCAGCACCAGAAGCAGCCACTGGACGTCCGAATAAAAATAAATATGGCGACTCCTGGCAAGACTGAGCTACTCACCGTGTGCTTTTGTTACTGATTACAGTCGCTTGTTGGATATAAATACTGAGTTTGATCGCCTTAAATTTCTGAAGAAAAAGGAATTTATTTACATTTGTTGCTTGTGCATTAGGAAACTCGGTTTCAGCCTCTCATCAGAACTATTTTCTGGCCTGTTCATAGTGGGTTCTGTACCATTCTACCGATGTTTTAATAGCCGATTCAAAGTCCGTGAAGGTGTACTCCGGCAGTAGGCTGCGTAGCTTAGCATTGGACGCCGTCTTCTTAAACTGACCGTCAGCCTTGCTTGTATCACAGACAAGTTTACCCTAAATTAGGAAAATAAATTATTATTAAAGTTCCCCCTGGGGTGCTCCTATCTCATCACCTTAAACTCGAATGCTGTAGCTATTGCCTGGGCCACTTCAAAGATGGTCACTTCCTGGATTTCGTCGACACTCAGAACAATTGGCTCGACGCTGTCGTAGTTCCGCAGCACCCAAATCATCAGCTCTGCCAAATCCAGGGAGTAGATAAACTGTCTCAGAGGCTTGCCACTGCCAAAAACTGTGAAGACTTTCTCGCGTTCTGGCGTATCGGGTTGCTCCGTGATCAGCTTGTGCATGCGATTGATCATGCCCGGTATGACGTGACTCACTTCGGGCTTGTAGTTGTCGTGGGGACCGAAAATGTTGCAGGGAATCACAGAAGTGTACAAGTGTCCGTACTTGTCGTTGTACGCATGGTTCTGAATGTCGATCAGTCGCTTTGCGTAGGAGTATCCGTAATTGGAAGGGTGTGGCGGACCATTATGGACCATGGTCTCATCTATGGGATATGTGGTCTTGTCCGGGAATATGCAAGTGGACAGGCATGAGACGACTTTGATGCATCCCTGCTCGTGGGCCGTTTGCAGAACATTATCATTGATCAGCAGATTGTTTCGCTGTGACCAAGGAACGTTAGATTTTGCTGGCATGTTTAAAGCCCGTGCTGCTCACCAAAAAGTCCAGATTATTGTTCATGTTGTGGAACAGGCCGCCAACCATGGCGGCCAAGTGAATGACATGCGTGGGCTTCTCCTTTGTGAACAGTGCCTGCGTGGCTGCCAGATTCCTATGAAGATGTTTGCTTTATTCACTAACGTGTGCCGACTCCCACTATACTCACGTCAAGTCGGCATCTTTGGACCCAGCAAAAAACCATTCCTCTTCCGTGGGTCCTTGTTTCTTGATGATAGCTTCTAGGGCCTTGCCCACAAGGCCAGTTCCACCTGTAACCAGCACCTTTTTCATTGTTTTTCACCGACCAGACGGAAAATTCCAGCCAAAGTTTACATGCAGCTGTGCACCAGGGCTGGCCACCAAACGTTATCGTACATCAATTGGCGTGCGTTATCGATTGTCGCCAGAGCCGGGGCCAGTCGGGAATTTTGTTTATGCGGCGAGAAATGCGAAATATTTAAATGGAAATGGAAACGCAAATAATAGACACCGTAAACGACTTCCTGGTAAGGCCCGGAGCACCGGAATAGAAGGAAATCTGCAGAGCTAATACTTTTGCCTCTTACAGAAAGTAGACTCGATCGACGAGGCCTTTGGAAGCGTCATCGTCTTTAAGCCAAATGGCGAAGAGGACAAGGCTAAAAATTTCTCCAATGATTTGGGTATGAGTGACTACCAGTGGTCTTGTTTTGTCTGACCAATGTATTTTGCAGTTACGGCCTTCGGAAACGTTGCGCAGGAGCATCGGGAGCACGTACTGCGGCTGTATCTGCTGCGGGCCGCCAGCGCGTCTAGTTACCATATGAGAGTAATGATGGCCGCGCTGGTAAAGCTGGTGGACGCGCATGTGATAACAGCTTGGATGCTCTGCGACAAGGTCTTGATGTGCGAAAAACTGGACTACGAACACAAGACCTTTTGGATAGAAAGTTTTCGGCTCATTAAGAAGGTGATCATGCAGGTGGACTACAAGGGAGTGCGCGAAATAATGAAGGTGTGCCGGGACAAGGCGCAGTGGTTCCCCCTCAACGTCAATGTGACCTACATGCCGCAGCTACTAGCCGTGGAGGAGATACTGCGCTTCCTGTTCGATCGGAATAATTGCTTGTTGCCGGCTTACTTCGTTGCCAACGAGATAATGCGGCCGTTTCCCTATCACTGGAAGCTGAACAAGCTGATGACTGATTTTGTCGAGGAGTTCCGCACTACGGCCCAGATGGTATCGATCATTGGACACGCCAACATGCTGCCCATTGTGGAGCATTTTGGCTACGCCGATCATATGATGAACTCCTGGCGCCTGGACCACAATACCCTGAAGTTCAACTTCAAGGGCAGTCTCCCCTACGAGCCGGAGCTGTTGGAGGAACAGCGGCCCCTGCTGCGTTATGTGCTGGAGCAGCCGTACTCGCGCGAGATGGTCTCGCAAATGCTGAACCTGCAAAAGCACCAAAAGCAGCGGTACAATGCACTGGAGGAGCAGCTGGTCAACCTGATCATCCATGCCATGGAAATGACTGAGTCAAATGACACCACTGCAGGCAGTGGCTTCAACTCCTCCGACGAACAGATCACATCCAACGAGTGGGTCTGGCTACATCTCTCCTCGCAGCTGATTTACTTTGTGCTCTTTCAGTTTGTCAGCTTTATGCACATTGTACTGTCTTTGCACGAGAAGGTACGCTTCACTGAACGAACAATACATTTTTTTTTACTATGTGTATCTTCCCCGGCAGCTCTCAAAGCTGGAGCTACGCAAGGGACGCGACCAGTTGATGTGGATCCTTCTGCAATTCATCTCAGGCAGCATTCAAAAGAATCCCGTAGGAAAAGTGTCAGAATTTAAAAAACGAACAGAATTCAACTGCGAATCTATTCCAGATTACCAACTTTCTGCCCGTGTTTAGGCTTTTCGATCTGCTGTATCCGGAGCAGGAGCCGCTTAAGCTACCGGACATCAACAAATCGTCTATGGTCCGGCAAATGGCCCCAATTTGCGTGTGGATCCATCTAATGAAGAAGGCCCGTGTGGAGAATATGAACATTACTCGACCGCTGCCCATTGCCCTGAAGAATCACCACGAGTAAGCAGCCATGTCTTGTCGTAAAAAACAGGCAGTAACCGTTGAATCCTTCCACAGCTTCCTGCAGCACCTGGTCTCCCCAAACACCATGATGAACATGACTCTGGGCAACGACTTCCGCATCATTCTTGTGTGCAATGCATACTCGACCAATCAGGAGTATTTCGGACGACCCATGGGTCTTCTCCTGGAGGCCCTCAATGGAACCTCTAAGTCCCCCAATGGCGCCCAGATACCAGCCGTCAACTTTTCGGTGGCAGTGCTAGACAGCCTCACAGTGCACAGCAAAATGTCGCTGATCCACAGTTTCGTCACGCAAATGCTGAAGCAGGCCCAAACCAAGGGTCAAGTGCCGGCAGCAGCGCTGCTCGAGACATACGCGAGACTTCTAGTCTATACGGAAATCGAGTCGCTTGGCGTCAAGGGATTCCTGAGTGAGTTCTCTCTCGCTAAGCAACAGATAGAATTGATATTGATGGTGATAAATTGTACGCATTTCCCCAAAACCCAGGCCAACTAATGCCCACAGTGTTCAAGAACCACGCCTGGGCTATGCTACATACTCTGATGGAAATGTTCTCATACCGCCTGCACCATGTGCCCACACACTACCGTGTCCAGCTACTGTCGCTTCTCCACTCGCTTTCCTCGGTGCCGCAGACCAATAAAATGCAGCTCAATCTATGGTAAGTCAATCTATTGTAAGTAAATAAAATGGGGAAGATCTAATCACTTCTTACCAATTGTAAAATGTAGCTTCGAATCGACTGGCCTGCGCCTGATTACTAGCATTGGATCGGCGGAGTTTCAGCCGCAGTTCTCGCGTTACTTTAACGACAAGTCGCCGGGAGCAGTGGCGTCCAACGAGAGCGAGGAACTGAACCGTGTGCTCATCCTGACGCTGGCACGCTCCATGCATGTGCATGGTGGCGGCGACGAGATGCAGAGCTGGTGCAAGGACTTTTTGGCAAACATAATGCAGCACACGCCCCATTCCTGGTCATTGCAGTCGCTGGCCTGCTTCCCGCCAGCCCTGAACGAGTACTTCACACAGAACGCCCAGCCGCCGGAGAACAAGCAGCAGCTGAAAAAGTCCGTGGAGGAGGAGTACCGCACGTGGACATCGATGACCAGCGAGAACGACATCATTGCCCACTTCCTGCGCCCAACTACAAATCCCCTGTTCTTATGCCTGCTCTTCAAGATCATTTGGGAAACGGAGAGCATCAGTCCGGTGGCCTACAAGTGAGTAAGCTTAAAACGCCGATATTTCCGGTCTTCATTACATTGAACTTATCTCAGGATCCTTGAGGGAATCAGTGCCCGGGCACTGACAACGCATTTGCGCAAGTTCTGCGATTACCTGGTCGCAGAGGTGGCCAGTTCTTCGGATGGCCGTGACTTCATCCACAAGTGCGTGGACACTATCAACAACATGATCTGGAAGTTCAATGTGGTGACCATCGACCGCGTGGTGCTCTGCCTGGCCCTACGCACCCACGAGGGCAATGAGGCGCAGGTCTGCTTCCTGATCATTCAGCTGCTGTTGCTAAAAGCCAGCGAACTTCGGAATAGGGTGCAGGAATTCTGCAAAGACAACAATCCCGACCACTGGAAGCAGAGCAACTGGTAAGATTTTGAGATTTCCAACGTCCAGGCAGGGAGGGAAACTTTATTTAAATTCTCTCTCTGTTTCTTTTAGGCAGGACAAGCATCTTTCCTTCCACCAGAAGTATCCCGAAAAGTTTGCCCTCGACGAGTCTGCCTCGCACCTTGCCCTTCCAGTATACTTTAGCAATGTCTGCCTGCGCTTCTTGCCCGTGCTGGATGTGGTCGTGCATCGCTTCATTGAGCTCACCATTCCGAATGTCCACCAAATCTTGGGCTTCATACTTGATCATCTGAGCATACTCTACAAGTTTCATGGTGCGTACCCACTACCCTCTGCCACTGCAGCCCCAAACAAGAACTAACGATTGGCGGCTCTCATTGCAGATAGACCCATCACCTATCTGTACAACACCCTGCACTACTATGAGCGCATCCTGCGGGAGCGACCACCGTTGAAAAAGAAGCTGGTGAGCACGATTACCGGTGCCTTCAGTGATATTCGGCCACCAAACTGGAGCGTCAGTGAGCCCTATAAAGTCTTTCTCCAAAATCAAGACTTGCTCTGGAACCCAGAACTGAGTTACTACATGAATTTAATCAAGCGACTATCAGAAAGTAAGTTAAAATGAAGGTTAGTTAACTCAGGCTAATCTCTCTTTCCTTTGTACAGCCATCAGCGGGAAGAACGTGTTCTACACCACGGATTGGCGTTTCAACGAGTTCCCCAATGCTCCCGCCCATGCGCTCTATGTGACGTGTGTAGAGCTGCTGGGTCTCCCAGTGGCCCCCGCTCTGGTGGCCAACAACCTAATCGACGTGATAGTAAGTGGTTATGCGGTTATTCCGCAGAAGGAGATCCACAGCTACATCAATGCAGTGGGCATCGTGATGGCTGCCCTGCCGGAACCCTACTGGACCGGCATCTACGACCGCCTCAAGGAAATGCTGAACACACCCAACATGCTGAACTGGACGTATCGCTTCAATGCCTTCGAGCTGTTCAACTTCAAGACGGTGCGCGAGGCCATGCTGGAAAAGAGCTACGCTGTGGTGCTGGCAGTGGCCCATTCGGTCTTCCACCACATGGGGGTTTTTAAGCTGGCAGCCATGACCAGAAATATCAAGGAGAAGCTGAAACCCTGCGTCCACACAGAGCAGCAGCTGCTCTATCTCTGCCATGTGTTCGGTCCTTTCATGAAACGCATTGAGCTAGAGACCCCAAATGCTGTGGCGGGCATTGCGATCTTGCTCTATGAGATACTGGAGGTCGTCGATAAGCATAGCGGATCTAGACCCCTGCAATATGTGGATCAGATATGCGATTTCCTGTAAATATTATACATTTCTGTTAAAATGATTGAACATTAATCAACATCTAATCGCATGCAGCTACCACATCAAGTACATCCATGTGGGGAACACTATCAAAAACGAATCGGAGGCAATCATTAAACGACTGCGCCCCCTGCTACAGATGCGTCTGCGCTTTATATCGTATCTGAATCTGGAGGATATCCACGCGGAGAAGATGTAAGCATTTTGCCAGAAAGGAAAGTACGTGAATATTTATTCTCACTTTATTTTAGCGCCGAAAGCAATGCCAATTCAGTTACAAATCAAACACAATCCCCGCTGCAACCTCAACACCAACAGCAGCAACAACCTATGCAGCAGCAACAACAACCTATGCATCAGCAGCAACAACCTATGCAACAGCAGCAGCAACCTATGCTGCATCAGCAACAGCCCATGATGCAGCAGCAGCAACCCATGCAGCAGCAACAACAGTCCATGCAACAGCAACAACCTATGCAGCAGCAACAAGTGAATGCGGCGCAAACAACTAGTGTTCCACTGGGTAGTGGTGGCAATCCACAGCAACAGCAGCTCAACCAACAGCAGCAAATGTACATGCAGCACATGCAACAGCAGCAGCAACAACAACAGCAACAGCATATGCAAAGTATGGGAATGCGCCACAACTAGATATAGAAGCCCTTCCAGACGTAATACCCAGCTCTAGCATAAGTTAAATATAGTAGTATTAATAGATCTTGTCGTGTACCGGTTTTCGCATTAATCATCATATCTTGTAAGTAATAATACCATTTATAGCTTAAATTATTCTCTGATAAGTTAAGCTCCCAAGTCTAAGCCGATTTTAAAATATTTATTCAATAATCCTATATGAACGTGTACCGGTTTATGGAGGTGTTTCTTCCTGGTAGCTCGAACCACATGAATGAGTCACAACAGAGAAGTTGTCTGAGATGAAAGCTCTCGGCGATCATTGTATTGTGCGGTCGAAGAGCTGCTCGCCTCGTGATCAACTCTCAGTTTCGCTCAAGACGCAGTCGGAAATGGATGATGCGTTAGTCGGAGTTCAGCTTTGGCTGCTGCTTCTTCTTTCGACCCGTATCTGGGCCGAGTTCTGCGACAATGGGACAGGCGAGTGCGTGGAGCTGACCGCCACCGACTGTCCCGTGATATTCTACAACCATCACTTGATAGGAGCGGATATTAAGTACTGTGACGAGTTCAACGATATCGTGTGCTGTCCAATACAGCTGGATCACCAGAGCCAGAAGCCGGCCGATGAAACGCATCCGTTTGAGCGAGGTGAGCTGTAAACAACAACTGTGATAACCAAGGTGATATTTAAACGATATTTCACCAGAGTGCAAACGTTTCAACGAGGCAAGAGCCTCCTGTCGTTCAACGCCGTTCATTGTCGGCGGCTCGAAGGCGGCTGGCCAGGAGTTCCCCTTCATGGCGCTGATTGGCACAAAGGGTAACGATAAGGCCGACATCAATTGGGATTGCGGAGGAGCTCTGGTGCATCCCAGATTTTTACTGACTGCGGCGCATTGTCTGGAAACCAGCGAGTAAGTAGCAGATCAGCGGAGGCAGTAATGTGCCTGATAATAATCCCCGCATATATAGATCGAAGGCCGAACGACTTGATCCCAACTTTGACTCTCCTAAATTTGTGGTGCGTCTCGGGGAGCTGGACTACAACAGCACCACAGACGATGCCCAAGTTCAGGACTTCCGAGTAGTCAATTACGTGGTGCACCCGTCGTACGATGACGAGGACGGGTTTAAAAACGACATTGCCATCATTGAGATAGACAGGGCGGCAGTCGTTAACGAACATGTGGCACCCGCTTGCCTGCCACCTAGCAGCGGCGACGAGAACAGCCAACTGACTGCCGCCGGCTGGGGGTTCACTTCAGACAAGGGCACGAAGTCGTCGCACCTACTGAAGGTCACCCTGCAGCGTTTCAGCGACGAGCAGTGTCTGGAGCGGCTCCAGCAGGGCATCGAGACACGCACCCAGTTCTGTGCCGGATCGATCACCAGCAACGCCGACACCTGCAACGGCGACTCGGGTGGACCCATCTTTGTGCAGCATCCGCTCTATCCGTGCCTGAAACAAGTGATTGGCATCGTCTCCTATGGCTTGGTGTGCGGCACCCAGGGTCTCCCGAGCGTCTATACCAAGGTCCACCTCTTCACCGACTGGATCGAGAGCATTGTGTGGTCTGATTAGTCCTTTACTGTAAGAATCTTGTATTTTTTACAAATAAATGTATGTACCTATACGAATCATTGGTTATTCCGCCATAATTTCGGTTATCCACGGCAGATGAAATCCAACGTTTGTGTAGACGGCCTGATTCTGGCAATCGTCGGTGCCAAAGCTCACCAGTCCAAATTGAACGAAGCGGGGTCGACCGAGGTAATTCACGAGACTCCCCAGGGGACCGCCGGAGTCGCCGCGGCAGGAATCTTGTGCTGTGGTGCTGCTGCCAGCACAGATTTGGCTCTCCTTCACCCACATACTAAATTTGATGGTGCACATTTTGCGGTGTTTTCGCTGCAGATCGGCGGCCATGAGCACATCGGAGCCACGAACGGAATAGGCATTAAGTCTGCCCCATCCGGCCACGCTGAAGGAATCTAGGGTTTCCGCCAGTTTTTGCATTTCGGCGTTCAGGGGCAGACATATGGGTTTGATGTGTACTGCAAGAAGAGATCGCCTGGCTCTGGAAATCACCGATCATCAAATACTCGAAAGAACTCACTCTTGTATTCCACCTGGGAGGCCAGCTCCACCAGGGCTATGTCGTGATACTTGGAGCTGTACGAGAAGAATTCGTGAGAAATGATCCGTTTTATGGCGAAATCCTCCGACGGTGGGGCACAAATCTCCTTGTCCCCATAAGTCCTGCAGTCCCTGGTATGGCGCACATCGTGCTCTCCCAAGCGAACCACCACGGAGTTTCTGCGTCAAGATCAATATCAATTTCAGATAGAACATGAAGCCAATACAACATTTATGTATTGTACATATAACTCACATGTCCCCATACTCCTGTTTGGTGAAACAATGCGCTGCCGAGAGTACAAATCCTGCAAGAGATTGTGTGACTATAGTGAATCTGTGGCTATCTGTTTAGGAGGGTATCGTATCCATACGTTGCGTTATGAGCGAGCCACCACAAAAGTGTTCGGCATTGTCGGAGCGGTTGGTCAAGAACAGTGCCATCCATGGTCTGGAGCCTAATTTCACTTCCTTGCCATTAACGACGCGGAAGTTGAGGTCCCCTGGAAGGGCTTCAGGTACACCACAGTTTTGTTTTTGGAGTTCCTCAATGCCTTTCGGATCGTTATCGCAGCAGAACAAACCGCGATGATCATTGCAGCCGGATTTGTATATCAAGCGGATTTCCTCAAATGGCGCACTTTTACCCTGCTGGAGGATTCCAAACAGTTTCCCGCACTCGTCAATGGGCACACAGTAGAAGCAGTTTTCATTTTCTGCCACTGGAAGAGGTTCATCTTGCACAAGTCACACTGTAAGCGCACGCGGAGGTATACCTACAATTGTCCGTAGTGCCGCCAGCTAGGAGGTACAGTACACTCCATAGGAGAACGACTTGCCAATCCAAAATAGCCATTCCGATTCCGGTGAATATGTTCCCAGCGACTAATCCGGATTAATGTGCTGCTGTATTTCATGACTAACAGGGAATCGGTTCTTATCAATTGTGTGACCTAGCGTGCTGACACCTTTTCCTAGTAAAAACTAGGCTAACGGAGATCTGGTGAATGCATTGGCGTAAAGTAAATCCAAAATCTATCATACCAATATAAATTAATCGATTTTACCGCTCATTTGAATTACAATTTGTTTGTTAGTTGAACTGAAATCTTATCTGTTTCGTTTCTTTAATTATGGCACAATCGCTTTCTGGGCGCTTCGTTTTTGATCGCCAACAGAGATAAAACTAAAATAAAATATAAATTATTATTATTATAATTAGTTTATTAGGTGAGTGAATCATATAATTCCGTTCCTATCATGCAACATGTTTCAGATGAAAACTCAGTGGGAAATTGTGTAGGGTATTTGCTTAGTTGCGATTGCATTCCAACGCGGTAAAGTAAGCACATACATATTTACGTTTGTCGGTATGCACATACATATGTATATGTACATAGCTCCACATAAACATTTACTACAGTATGTACATATATACGACAGACGAAAACTCGAAAGTCTAAAGTCCACAGCAGCTGTATGTAAAAACATTACAACATTGTGTGTGAACAGTTGTAAAATGCACACACACTCGCACGTACCGCACATATACTCTTATCAATGCGTGCAGAGCACAACAAAACCCAAAGAGAGAAGGGGAGAGAGATCACAAAAAGAGAACTAGAGTGGGAGAAAGAAAACAGACAAAGACGGAAGTTCGTTTGCAAGGTTTCTATATACTCTTCAAGTAATTCAGGTAGAACGGCCATGGTTTAACAGGTAGGAGAGGCCAAAACAAAGCGGCCGAAAGATACGTACATGGGTATTATACATACATATATATACAACAGAAAAGAAACATCGATCAAAACAAACTAGAAAAACCGCCTCGGAGATCACCAATACCAACAAACAAACGAATAGCAACACTGAAATTTTCAAATTTATTAAACAGTCGAGTCGACTGCGGCGGGCGGCAAGACCTCACTTCATCGTTCAGTTCAAAGCGATCGCAGGCGTTGTGCAAAGCGGTTCGAACTTCGGTGCTTCAGTCTTTCTGCTGGAAAAAGTCCAGGGCAGGGCGAAATAGTGTCAAAGCAATTGCAATTGAAGTGAACCATCCGCGACAGAAACTAGTCACGTCACTAGTTAGTGTTTTATCGTGTTACAACGGCAATTGAGTGTGAGGTAGGTCGGCTGTCAGCCCATAAATGGCTTTATCAGTCCCGTCTCCCAGTATGCCTTGCTATATGCTTCCATGGCCATCTCCTAATCTTGCCACGTCCAACTAACCAACTAACTAACTAACCATGAAAACTATTTCCCATGGATCCGATCCCAAAGAATGCGCGTGCTTCAGTTATTTTGGATTCTCATGATACGGCTATCAGCGCCGCCAGTGAACTGTTCTGAACCGCTAATTGATAATATGTACTGGATCGGCACTATACCCACACGCCATGTATAGTCATAATATAGGTGTACATAGCTATGGCTCGTAGATTTAAATTAAGTCGCACTTTCCACTTACTTTCTACTATAATGTGTGCCTTTTTATCGAACTTTGTTTGAACAGCACCTCAGGCTGTTTCTGTTCTTTGTGCTTTGTGCTGTCTGAACTCCAGTTTATGTACTTTCTCATAAATACCTACATGTGCATAAAGAACAATGAAAGTCAAAATGGTGTTCCTTTATCTTGCACCATCGTCATAGTAGATACAACCACACACTTTTGATTGAAAATCTTATCAATAAGCGACCTGTTATTGAGCTGCATCACAAATTAAATTAATTTAGATCGTACGACACGACACCCAAAATAAGCAAACAAATGAGTCCCAACACTTGGAAACAGCCGCACCCGCACAGGCTCGAGCGAGACGACTAACATAAAAAAAAACAAGATTCAGTCAAAATAAATAAATTATGGTGTATATACATATATATTTTTAGCTTTATCAATTTTCGACTGTTTCTGCGGAGGCTCGACATACACACACACACAAATCCAAACGATCCACACAAAGAAAGCGAGATCCGCAACGAGGGTCGCATCATGGATAGCGTAAAGTCATTCTTCGCCGGATCCAGCAAGGGCAACAACAGTCTCGGAAATCATCAGCAGCAGAATGGACATGGTAGTGAGAGCACCAATCGCTGGGGCCGGAACTGGAACTCCAGCTCCCAGCACATGGATACCAGTTCCACGAATTCCACGTCCATTAACAAAACCAACCATTGCGATGCCAAACGCAAGGACAGTGATAACTACTTCTATATCATGTAAGTTGGGGGAGAACTTGTTACAAGGCAGAGTAGAAGGAACGATTCGTCATTTTCGCAGTTTAGGAGTTCTTAAAGGTTGTATAGTTTGAGTGGAGAGATATCAACAATTGTGTAAATTTAGATTAGATAAAGATTGAAATCAATAGGGCAGTACCCTTTCCATCTAGGGCGGTTAGAAAATAACTCTTGTTTCTTGAGTCTACCTACAGATATTTATAATTTCTTTTCCCATCACGTATCAGTCCTTGTACATGGGCGTACTGCTCCATATGTAATCTTTCCAACATAATATACCCATTGGAATGACAATTTTTTTGACCACTGATAAACGTTCAATGCCTGCCATTAAAGATTGTGTGGAACCAACCAGAAACGATCAGTGTTGTGGCTCCATCAAAACGTTCAATTTAAATTTAAATTAAAAGACAATCGCTTAACGTTCAATCGTTCACTGGACGTTGTGGGGCCTGCAAACAAACCAGTTTGTGTTGTCATAGATCCATCTGGCTCTGCTTTGCCTTGAACATTGTATGAGTTTTCAGCGTACACTCGTAGTCACGCTTTCAGCTCAAAGTTCTGAGCGAGAACTGGAACTTTAGAACCTGTTGGGCTGCTTCGGGGAGGAGGAGGCCTGTCCGGGGATCAGTTACGAATTAACTGGCGTCAAGAGCAGCTGAAAAAGTCCCCACATTTAGAATGTGATTTGCCCGGGGATAGCCCCAAAAATACACAACAACTGGGTGTGAGCCATCGCATATGAGAGGCCACCATACAAATATACGAGTATAAAGTGCGTGATTCAGTGGAGCAGCTGGGGCAGTTACCGTCGAACAGGGCAGGAAACAGCACGCTGTAAGATCCGCAAACGAAACTCTCGCAAAATGCTTTGGACCAATTGGACCACTAACTGATTTCATATCTCATTTCAGGTGGCGCGCTTGAAGATATATTCCTACGTATGTGGATCTGTACGAAATTTTGTCAGCATTGCCGTAACGTTGGATAAGTTATCATCATCTAAAGTGACCTGCAGCAATATCTGTAAACCTATTAGAAGCATCGGAGCACAATCTCCACATTCAAGTCCGGTGTTTAGTGATATTAGTTATTTATTTACAATTTACACGCACAGAAGACACTAGTATCGATCGATCATAGCTTAATATACATATGGACCCCATTACATTTTTCGGCTTGCTCTACTGGCTGATGTGCATGATATTGTTCGGGCCGGCGATGTTCTTTGTCTCCGTTTATCTGCCGGAACTTCCAGTGCGATATGTGAAAAGCCTGAGGCAGCAAACATAAAGCGCCATCATTGAAGCCAAGTCCGTGGTACATAGATTAATCAAGCCATATTTGTAATGATAATGATGTACAACCGATCGGTATATAGTCGTATAATAAAAATGCATTCGAAAGTAAAGAACACAAAGGACTTCACACAGAAACCGATAGATCAATATATATCCTGGCTGGTCAATACATTGCCTCCCGTCTTGGGTTTGGCACTAACCTTCGGGCGAGACCCCGGCGGCAATCGATATGCAAATGGTAACCGCAACCTGGTGCGTGTGGCTTCGGCCAAATTTCTATAGAAACTGAAATAAACAAATGGCAACAAATTGCGGGCAACCCAACCCAACACAACACATTTCCCTCCTTTGCCAATAGAATTACGTAAAGTTTTAGTTTTTCGTTTAGTTTGCTTTGGTTTAGTGAAATACGCACACAAGATATCTCTCAGACTACTGTCAGGGAGCAAAAAAAAACAAACCAGTACTGAATCGCACAAGCCAATAATCATTTTTTAAAAAAATATATAAATAAACGATACCGCAACGAGGAGTAGTCAGCCATGCCGGAAACAAAAGGAGCCAAGGGCGATGGCAAGCAGACCAAGGCCAAGGTAACGTACCTAGCATCAGGGATCCCAGATCCAATCACTCTAGATATAGAGTCTCCTCACCACACACCACACACCTCACTTGAGACTTGCTGCTGGTCGCACACATCCTTTCGCCTCGAGAGCTGGCAACGTAATGCCAGAGCGGAATTCTTTACGGCCTTGTCTTGTCCTTTTTCTATTTTTGCTTTTTAAATTTCGTTTTGCGCTTACTTTTTAATAAGTTCCGCTGAAAGCCTTCCGCTTCGGATGGCAGTCCTGATGGAAGTTTGTCACGATACATAATTTGCAATTTCCGGCGCAATCCATGTGCGTGCCAGCCAGCCCATAGCCCCAGCCCCAGCCCAGGCCGTGCAATTTGGTTACAGCTACCAATTTATTTAGCCCACTACACCCGTACTTGGTCCAAGGCGTTCCGGAGTTGGGGCAAAAGGGGCCATTGGGGGGACGGGACTGATGAGTGTCGAATCCTCATCAGACGCAACGCAATAAAAGAGTCAATAAATCACTCACTCACGAATACGACGCTAGGCTCACCTTTTCATTTAGATGCACATCAAAATAAATATGTAACTTGGAATGTCTCCCAAGGAGGGATGTACACCAGGGAGGAGCTCCCTTCCCTCCTTCTCCCTCCTCCCTCCTCCCACGAAGCCCGTACTAATCGAGTTGTGTGCAAAATTTGTTTATTCTGATTCCGCCACCGCCCGCCCCCAATCCTGTTGTGACGTCAGGACGCAAAAGTTTTTCGCTTTCGGCTGTCGTGAAGAGGCCGCTGACATGGCGAACGTCATCAGGATTGCCGTATTATCGGGCAGGGCATAATTCAGTGGCCCCCCAGTAGCATTCCTTTCTTGCTGGCAGTCTTTCCTCGCCGCTCTCGCTGGACAGACAGACACTATATTGTTCCGCTTTGGGAGACGAGTCCTTTCCTTGCTCCCCGCCTCGAATCGAATCGAATCGAATCCAGTTTCTGGCCAAGATGTGGAAGCTTGCCAACAAAGCCATGGCGGTATATGACCCACAGATTGATTGTAATCCCCACTAGCAATTCGTAGAGCTGTGTGTGTGCGTAGAGCTGTGTATAGTACTGTGTGCGCGTGAGTGGGAGTGTGTGTCTAAGTACAGTGCGTTTCAGAGCGATGACTGCTGTGGGTCTGTAAATATGATCTCCTCTGTGGAAGAATGAATATCCCATCCAATGAAAGAAACGTTCTGAAATGCATTGTGGCCGAGAAGGCACTTGTAAATACAATTTTGAGAGATGTGTATGTCTTTAATGCATTTAACCGATATCTTTCCATATCTATCCGTACAATCTGTAAATACAATCTATTCGTACTATCTCTCTCTCTTCAAAAGCCCAACTCGTAGTAGTAGCTTAAAGTAGGACAGATCGCTCTCCTCCTCCTCCATCTCTCAGTTCACATTCAGTTTTAGTCGAAAAAGTATGTCAGAATCTACTGGTGCTGGTGCTGGTGCTGGTGCTGTTGCTTGGGCTGCTGCTTCTGCTGCCAGAGAGACCACCGATCCGCCGGAGGATGTTGATGGTGCCAGCAATAGCGATGACGATGAGGTAACGGTTGCGGCGCAGGCCCTTCACCACGAATACTCGTATCATGTTTCAATTTGCATGCCTCATGCTTGGTGCCCTCTATAGACATAGACAGCACCTATCTAACGTAGACCGTAGTGCACTCCATCATTAGTAGCACACCGAAAGATATTCCCCCGCAGAGCTGCAGGCAGGTGAGTGACCATCCTGTTCCTCGTCCCGCTTCCCGTTTAGAACATTTTGCGAGGCACCATCAATGGAATGTTGCATGCACCACAGACCACCTGACCTGACACAATCCTCCTCCCTACTTCCACCTGTCCATGACCTGATCTTTCGTGAATTAACCCCTGTCCCCTGTACCCGTCCCCCACCGCCACACTCTCCGTCAAGCAGAACAGAGCCTCCAAAGCGAAGGCCGATGGCGGCGGCGGTGATGCCGATGACTTTGATGCCTGGATGCGATCGCGCCAGCTCCTCAAGCCAGACGATCAGCTGGACTTGACGGAGGCCGAGCTGGCCGAGGAGGTGACCAAGGTGCTGACGCCCACCAACACAAACGTGATCCACAATCTGGTGGTCTACAGCTTCAAGGAAGGGGAATATGTGCCGGCGCCGCTACCGGGCAATACGGTGACCCTCTTGAGCTACTCCGGAAACTCTTTGCACGTTGACTCGGAGGAGGCCCGTCTCCAGATCGAGGAGTCCGACGAGATTGGCTATCCCCTGCCCATGCCCCACTATTCGCTGGTGGAGCAACGCGACACATCCGCCGGGGACGGTGAGGGCGAGGGCGAAAACGATGATGCCGACGACGATGACGACGCCAAGAGTGGACCCGAAAAGGATGCCGAAGAGGAGGAGGGCGAGGAGGGGGAAGAAGAGGAGGAGGCCAAGACAGGCGAAGGCGCCGATGAGGGCGTCGAAGAGGCGGAGACTCGTGCCGAAGATGAGGAGACCGCCGGAGCCCAGCCGGCCGCTGCCACAGCCTCCGGCAAGAAGCGCAAATTGATCAACCAGTTCAACTACTGTGAGCGCGCTGCCCTCACCTACACGAATCCTACGAGGGTGAGCTAACTGCACAGTCCCATCAGTCGCATCCCTCGGAACCATGTCTCAACACGCTCTTCCTTTCGCTTCCTTTACAGAGTGTGGACACCCAGACGATACCGCCGCCCCGCTCGCAGTTCGGTGGCAATGTGTTGCAGTGGGTCATCTACGACTCGTATTTGCAGGATTTTGAGGCACAGTCCAAGGACGGAACCGCCAAGAAGGAGGACCGCAAGCGGGGAATGCGCTCGAAGAAGTTCAAGGACAAGTCGGCCATTGCCGAGCAACTCAACAAAAAGTATCTCAAGTGCTGGCAGATCCTCGAGCGGATGATCAACCAGAACATCTACGACGACATTGCTCATGACTATCGCTACTGGGAGGATCCGGCCGATGAGTACCGCGAGGGCGAGGGCAACCTGCTGCCCCTATGGAAGTTCCAATACGAAAAGACCAAGAAGATGAATGTCACCGATATCCTGTTCAATCCGAGCTACTACGATCTCTTTGCAGTTTGCTTTGGCTCACGTGAGTAGAGCTTTACACAAAGTAAAACCACGTCCTTTATCCTCATCTTCCGTGCAATTCAGATGACTTTATGAAGCAGACAAACGAGGGCTACCTCTGCCTCTTTACCGTCAAGAATCCCTCTTTTCCGGACTACATCAGTAGGTTTCTCAGAGCTCGGAGCTTGTTAATCTGTGTTAATCCTTGATTCCTGATTCTCTACAGTACAAACCGATTGCGGTATCATGTGCTGTGACATCCATCCCACATACCCCTTCCTAGTGGTGATTGGCCTGTACGACGGCAACGTGGCCGTCTACAATCTCCGGGACAGCTGCAAGGATCCGCTGTACATCTCCAAGGGCGTGAACTGCAAGCATGGAGAGTGCGTGTGGCAGATCAAGTGGGGCCCGGACATGACCGATGGCGAGATCAACTTCTATTCGGTGTCCTCCGACGGACGGGTCTTCAACTGGATTCTGATGCAGAACAAGCTCTGGGTGACGACCATCATAACACTGTACCTGCAGGACGGTCTTGTGGATGGGCCCGACGGCACCAAGGTCAGCCTCAAGAGCGGCGGAAGCTGCATGATCTTCCACCCCACCGATCAGAAGATCTTCCTGGTCGGCACCGAGTGCGGCTACATTTACAAGTGCAGCACGGCCTTCAGCTCCAAGTACCTGATGACCTACAACGCACACAACATGTCCGTCTACCGCATCGACTTTAATCGATTCAACTCCAACATCTTTGTGTCCTGCGGCGGCGACTGGCGCGTCAAGGTGTGGGAGGACATGCGTCCCGATCCGCTCTTCATCTTTGATCTTGGATCTGCTGTCGGCGACGTCAAGTGGGCCCCCTATTCCAGCACCGTCTTTGCCGCTGTCACCACCGAGGGCAAGGTCCATGTCTTCGATCTGAATGTGAACAAATATAAGGCCATCTGCATCCAGGCGGTGGTGCCCAAGCGTAAGAACAAGCTCACCCGACTCTCCTTCAACGAGAAGATACCCTTCATTGTGGTTGGCGACGAAAAGTAAGTAGTACCCCGATCCCTCTCCTAACTCACCTTAATCTATCTTTTGACCAGGGGAGTTACCACTTCGCTTAAACTATCGCCCAATCTTCGCGTGATGGTCAAGCCGCCCAAGAAGCAGCTGTATCTGGATCAGACCACACTGCAGATCTCCAAACTGGAGAAACTACTATCCCTAGTTCGGGAGCTGCCCGAAGGAAACATCGTCCCTGACGCGGCCACCACAGTGCGCAGCTAAATGCTCAACATGAAATATCCACTTTATAATATAATGTATATTTTGATAGTCCTCTTCCCGAGTCTGATTGTATATTTCACTTTAAAACATGTAGAGTTTTTTGGTTTTAAAAGATTCGTAGTGCGACCTATGTTAGTTTTATGTCCGTCCTTAAAGATCTATCAACCAAAGGAACTCTGAAACACAACAGAAGATCACAAAATTGTACAATATAATGTTATGGGCTAAGATCTTAAATCAAAACTTTAAATTAAATGTTAATCAAATCCATCTGAAATTTTTCGGTCTTCTGCCATAATCTATGCTAAAACCTTAACTAAATTGTAACTAGACATCTTCTATATCCTCTAAAACTTCTAGTCGTCCATGGCCATATCTTGGGACTGGACTTTGATGTGCTTCGCCTCCAGATACTCGAGCACATTGTTGGGGCACATGACACTCTTGCCGAGAAACAGCACCGTGGACATGGGATGGAGAAAATCCGCTGCAAATGTGCTTGCCTTCCAGCCAAAGAAGCCACTGGCTCGCACCTCGGCGCCTTTGATCTCGTAGGGCAACAGATTGACTCCCACCTGGTTGGGCTTCGAGAATTGGACGCGAAAGTAGTGTCCGTCGGTGGCCTTGATCCAGTAGAAGCCCTCGTTATCCACATACGGCTTGCTCTGCGACTTCTTCATCGCGTTGGAGCGCTCCAGGTCGTGCACATTGAAGCTGATGTCAATGTCGTAGGCATCCGGTGAGATGGCGTTGGTCTCCACGGCGCTTTTCAGTGCATTGTTGTCCAGCCAGTAGCGTATGCCCACGTTCTCGAACTCTTCCAGCACATGGTTGAAAGTGGTCCGCAGCTTGTCCAGGCAGCAGGGTGGGGTGTGCTTGTCCAGATACGAGTAGAACGGCCGATTGTTGTACACGGTGCCGATGCAGGACTTTGTGGTACGCTCGCAACCGAAGAGATCGATGTCCGTGACCAACGGCAGTGACATGTTGGAGCTGGAGAACTGGGCATCCAGCACGCCCTGGTGGAACTGCCAGCTGCTCTCTCTGGCCGGTGGCTTGCCGAGCACCGTGTACGCCCGTCGCACGATCCTCTTAATCTGCAACCGCTTGTACATCTCCCGGAACTGGCGGCGACGCAGCTCCATGCGGCGCTGCTTAGTGTGGAACGAGGCGAAGAGACGTCTTCCCTCCTGGAAGGCATGTGAGAATACGGTGGTCTGCAAAGATAACCAATGGGAATGGGAGTGCAGAGATGTTTCATGGACGTGTACCCACCGATAAATTGGCAATCTTTGCCTGTATGTACAGCATCTCTGGGAAGGGCAGGGCGAAAGGTTCGGGCATCGCACCCAGAGCGGCCACATCCAACAGGATCGCGTGCTTTTGTAGAAACTAAGGGAAACGGAAATGGACTGTCAGAGCTAGGATCATCCTGTTGGAATGACAACCTACCAAATCGCAGCGCCGACTGTCATTAGTTGCCACTATCTCCAGCGTCCAGTTGGGCAGATCCATTCTCATCCGCGCACAGCTGCTGAATGACTTGAGATTGCCCGCAAAGGGGACCAGCACCATGCGGCGCACCGTCTCCTCCGGCGGAACGGCCAGTCGCTGTTCCTTGGGCTGTGCCTGGGCCCCGGCCACGCCGATCGTGTTGATCTCGCGCAGGATCTTCTGGAGCAGATTCTTGCTGTTCAGCCGGACACTGTCCGGCATGAGGAGGGCGTACTTGGTGCGAATGGCGGCCAACGGATCGAGCTCCTGTCGCGTGTGTCTCACATCGAAGGCCAGATTGAGGAAGGTCACAGTCTGATCCTCGCCAGCGGTGAGGTTTCGCTCATAGCTCACCGGTGGATAGGCGTACTCGGTGCCGCCCTCCTGAAGCACCAGGATGGGCATGTTGGGTATCACGTCCAGTATGCTGTCGATGCTCGCCCGCAGGTCCTGCTCAAAGTTGTAGTGTCCATAGAACACGATGGTGATGCTCTTCCTTATGTGCTTGTTGGCGTTGCGCACCTTCTCCTTGGGCGTCAATTTAGGGGCGGCCTTGGGCTCCATCTCGTCACCAGCTAGCACCCTACTAATGCGGCGCCAGAGGAGCGTGTTCCAGGTGTAGTACAGGAATATCAGATTGACCAACAGGACGCCCAGCAGCATCAGCTTCGCCATTCGCAGTCGGAGCACCTTCATCCTGGGACTCTTCGCTACAGGTTGTACGGCTACGGCTGCTACTCTACGCGATTCACTATTTATAGTAGGTATCTCCCTGTGTGTGTACGGTACGGTGTGTGTACGGTGCTCCAGGATGGGTGTAGACACCTGCACTTACGCACTTATACATCTACATGGCTGCCAGGAGCGGAACGAAAGGAATCCTAAAGCCCCAAAGCTCCTCCGGATGCTGGTCGCACATTCTTAGATTCGATTTTCATTTTTCTCCGCTCTTCCGGTTCAGTAATTTTAGGTCCTGTTTCCTGTTTTTATCACTTTTCAATTTTGTTTTTGTGACAATTCCTTTTTCCTCGACTCTGCGCAAATGCCGACATATTTCCAACCCATCTCTTCACCCACCCACCGACCCACCGGAAAAGCTCCTTCAGCTCGAACAGCTGATGGCATATGCAGCCCCGTTTTCAGCCGAGTTTTTTGGGGGGTTGCTTGGTGGTTCATCAGGGTAGAAATATTTGGTAGAGCTTTTCAAATCAGTTTTGCGCCAAAAGTTGATGGCTTTTCGAAAGCGCCAATGTTTGGAAAAATTCCTGAAACTATGGAAATTAATTCATTAAATATTGTATAACGTTGTATGTACTCATACCCAAGACACTAAACTCTTTAAAGAATAAAAGTGATTATTTATTATATTCAAGGGAAGGGAATATCAAATGTTTTGGAGATAAATTGTAGATAATACTGATTCATCAGAGATCATATGTGGATTATAGATAGCGGTGGAAACGAAGACTGGATCAGATCAGATTCACATTCACTTTCCCATGCCGGCAAAGAGAAGTGGGAATGGTACTTCGTCGGTGCTCAGGATCTGAGGAGTCGGGGGTCGAGCATCGGCCTCGCTGGTGCTGTTCAGCCAGTAGGTGGTCATGGTGCCCTTGCCCTTGAGCTCTACATCGCCGCGCTGCTCCATCTGGAAGGTACCGAACTTGTCCAGAATGGCCTTGGTAGCGGAGGATACGTGGATCTTGCCGGGCTGACCGGTGCTCTCCATGCGCGAGGCGGTGTTCACGGTGTCCCCGAAGAGGCAGTAGTGCGGCATCTTCTTGCCGACGACGCCAGCACAGACGGATCCGGAGTGCATTCCAATCCGAATCTGGATCTTGTACTCCGGCTTATGCCTCAGGTTAAAGGAGCTGACGGCCTGCAGAATGTCCAGGGCCATTAGGGCGATCTCACGAGCGTGCTTATCGCCGTTGGGCTCGGGCAGGCCGGAGACCACCAGATAGGCATCGCCAATGGTTTCCACCTTGTAGACATCATAGAACCCGATGATCCGGTCGAAGGTGCTGTATAGATCGTTCAGGAAGTTTACCACATCCATGGGGCTGCTGCGTGCGCAAAGCTCCGTGAAGCCGACGATGTCGCTGAAGTAAATGGTCACGCTGCTGAACTCCTCCGGCTCCACCAGATCCCCGGCCATCAGCTGCTGGGCGACGGGCCGCGGCAGGATCTGGTACAAGAGCTCTTCCGTGCGCTGCTTCTCCAGACTCAGCTGGCGCGTTTTTTCCTCGACGAGGCTCTCCAGATTGTTGGCATACTGCTCCATGCGATTCAGCAGGTCATCCATTAGATTCTCGCAGAAGCCCCTGGAATCCACAAAAGAGAAGATTGGGACTGTATTAGGTGTATCTTTGGCTTCGGATGATTTCGGAAGTGATTACTTCATTATGGTGCGAATATTGCTGCGGATCGTGGAGAAGGCAGGGCGCTCCTCCTGGTTGTCTGCCCAGCATTTTTCCATGAGCTCCAGGAGATCGGGTGGACACTCGCGTTCCCTAATGAGCGGCCGAAATCCATTGCATTGCCGCACTTTGTGCAGAATGGTGTGGACATCCATCTGCTGGCGCGCCTCTTGGTAGGGTCCGCCACGGTTCACAATCTCTTCCAGAATGATGCCAAACGAGTAGACATCCCCACGTTGCGTGGCCGGACTGCAGCCAGGAATGGACGTCAGAGGCAGCAGCTCCGGGGCGATCCAAAGGAGTTCTAGAATAAGGAAGGACAATGGAATGCGGTTTGGCGAAGACACCTCTGGCACCTCTGGGATTCACTCACTCAAGTAGTAATTCTGATCCCGCACAAAGTCCGAGGGCGTGGTCAGCGTGGCCAGGCCAAAGTCGGATATCTTGAGCACAAACCTGCCATCGATGAGGCAGTTGCAGGAGCGCAGCTTTCCGTGGGCCGCCACGTCGCTGTTATGCAGATAGCTCATGCCCTTGACAATGTCATGGATGAGGGACATGCGGAAGTTCCAATCCAGCTCGATGGCCTCGTTCTCCAGCACATCCTTGAGGCTGCCGCGGGAGCAGTACTCCGTGAGGATGAGGACAGTGGGTCGTGGCAGGTCGATGCAGGCGCCCACGAACCGTACTGTGTTCTCGTGGCTCACGTCGCGCGCCTGCTTGATCTCCCACAGCAGCTGGGGCGTCAGCTCCACCTTCTTCACATTCACCTTCTTGATGGCCACGCGCTCGCCCTTGAACTGGCCAATCGTCGTGTACACCTGCGGCGGCAGCGAGGTGAAGCTGGCTATGGAGGCGCGACCGGAGTGGATGCCGAACTGTTGCAGCGAGATATTCTCGACGTCCAGGCGCTGGAGGCCACCCTTGGAACCGAACATGCCGCCCATTTCGATGAGGACATCGTCGGGTCTCACCCGCCAGGACATATTGTTCAGCTCCTTGCTAAGCTTCATCTGCCTAAAAGAATGCAAGAATGCCAGAATGGGAGTGGAGTATTTTTTTTAAGCACCGGTAAGATAGACCAAGTTGAGGGAGTCTTACTTTTGCAGCAGGCAAATGACGAGGAAGACGAGACCCAGAAAGAGGAACAGTCCAAATATGGAATACATAATGGTGGACTCTGGAATCGGAGAGATTTACGTATCTCGAATCTAATAATCTAAACCTTTCTCAAGTATGGGATGGGGAGGCCATACCATTGTCATGACAGTCCGGAGAATTTCCTAGGAAGCCACAGGGCGGCACATCCGGCGGCGGCTCCTCACGTCCGCCCGGCCAGTGTATCTTCTTGCCATGCACAGCAGCGTATTCCCTAGAAAAGAGCGTGTTTGGTGAATCGAATTCGACTATACGAGGGGCCCGTCGCTCACTTGTGAACACCGGAATAATGAGCAACGACTGAAAATTTCCCGTTTATGGGATCCAGATCTAGGATCGAGTAGTCCGCATCCCGATCGCCATTGTCATCGATGCGCACGTGTCCGGTAATGCCTTCAAAGGTGCGATTCCACATCCGGCGCGTGATGTTCACCCCATCCCGGATGTCGCCTCCTTCGGTCAGTGTCTCGTTTAGGGCCATGCCCAGGAGATAAACTCCATCATAGAAGGCCCCAATGAAGAAGTTCACCTCCTCGCCCTCGCCAAACGTGTAGTTGTAGTCGTAGAGAGCATTCTCTCGGACATTGTCCGCAAAGTCCTGAAACTTGGGACTCGTCGGCTGCAGGAGGCTCACTCTTAAAAGGGCCTCGTATGCCTTGCGGGCTCGGGCATCGTACTCGTCCTTCATCTCCCAGCCCTTGTCGCCCCAGTAGTCACTCTGAAATATCTCCACGTCCAGGAAGACCCACTCGCCATTTGTCATTCCCATGCTGTGGGCTGCCAACATGAACTTTCGCACCAGAATCCCTCGAACCGATAATATGACGACTGTGTACCGAGGTGGATCGAGGTGGATAGAGGAAATTGTGAGAAGAAATGATCGATAAGTGAGGTGAACAAATCAGTTTAAAGCATGATGTGCTATGTACGTATACCTCTTGCATACATGCTCGCATCCCTCAGATAGTTCTCATAGATCTCCTCCTCATTGCCATTTAGCTCACGGACAAAGCTCAGCAGTCCCTCCTGTCGTAGTCCGTACTCGAGATTCTTGCCCACCGTCCACGAGAAGAGCTCCGATCTGTCCACCAGCAGGGCCACATGCTTCCAATTGAACTGGCGGAAGACGCTGGCAAAGACCAGAATGAGCCTACACTGGCAGTAGGACATGCGGGTGAGAGTTGGATACTTTGACTTGTCCTTGAACATTCCCTGGAAATTCTACAACGAATATACAATCCTGCTATTGCTTCGCGGATCCCCAAGACATTGAAAACAACAAATCTCTCCAGTACATGTTCCAGAAGTTGCAGTAATACCTTCCTGCCAGATACTTCATCCACTTACCGTATTCTCATTCTTCCACTTGTGTATTCTGCCCAGGATGCCAGAGGTCACCGTCAGCTCCCCCTCCGAGGATGGGGGCTGACGCAGGCAGCAAAAGTGGGAGAAAGGAAATGCGATGCTTTATCGAAAACACGGGAGAACCGAAAACTTAAATTCGAATTAAAGACCCATTGAGCGATTGCCCCTCCAGAGCCCAGAACACCATTTAATTGCCAATGTCAAGCGTACGACAATTAAGAGGGCTAAATGTGATTGCCTCAAACAGCTTGTGGGAGGGGGGACTAAGCCAGTTCCGCATTATTGAAAGCGGCATGCTGTGCGAGCTCCACACGCAAATCGCTACACTGTCGTCTTGCCTTACGCGTACCTGATCCCCCATGCCCGTGATGATGGGGGTGTTCCAGTAGGCGGCTAGACGAGCCACCGGCTCAAGGGCGAATGCACAGGCTGGTCCAATGAAGGCGATGACGTCGTCCTGGAAGTGCATGTCTGCAGCCAGTCCGGGTGCCCGTGCGCCCGAGCAGGATGGATAACTTAAGACAGACATGGAAGAAGTGTGGTAGGAGAGTGGCGGCGGCAGGCAGAAGACCCTGTCCACTCACCTGGCCTTCTTCTTTACGAGCGTAATGTTGTGGGGTCGCAGGAAGACCTTATTTATCTGATCCAAGGCCAGGTCCACGGCCGGTCCGCAGCGCTCCAGATCGAATGGTGAATCTGCGGGCAGTGCTGGCCGAATCAATCGAATCCCTAGCTGGTAAGTCGCTTACCCAAGTGGGAGGCCATCAGCACGCCCACATTGTAGACACGCATCTGGCTGAATTCGGCCTCGGTCTCAGTCATGCGACCCATCTGGTGGTGCTTCGGATCTCTTGACCGCTCGAAGATCTTGGAAGGAATATCGCCCGTTTCGTTGACAACCACCGTGGTGGTCGTATCGAAGCTAATCTCTTTGTTCAGGTCCTCCCAGGAATCGATCTCGTTGCGCTTAGCATTTTTGTGGGTGCTGAAGGAGTCGGCCAGCATCAGGTAGAGAATATGGACGCTGATTCGGAGCAACAGATGCATATTGTGGAGCTGCCAAAGAACTGGAAGAATGGTTTCCCAAATGAATGGCTATTCCTCATAATCGCACACACACACACTAAGTGGAAAGTTCCAATTCCTTCCATTAAACTGATTCAATTTGACTCATTCAACCCGAATTTCGCAGCCAAAACTTGAATTCATTTTGCATTACATTGCGAGTTTTACTCGACTTTCAAGGGCCCTGAGGCTACATACAAATTTGAAATTAATTCAAATTATAGCAACAACAAAGCGTAATGACTCGCAAATCATTTCATTATCCACTTGATGCTTTAAACAAAAACTACGCCGATTTGAACTTGTTGGTTTGATCTATATAACGTTTAAATTTAAACTTTAAGGACACTTGATTGCCAGTAGCTGGGTGTTTTCTGAACAATTTAAAGTTCATATCTTTGAAACACTTTACGTTTTTTCACTGTTTTCCAGTTGTTAATTACCGAAGGATTTTGAGAGAAATCTGTCGCGGAAGACGAACATCGAATGAGCCACAGGCGAACGCTGCTCGTCCTTTTATAGGCCATGAAACCCCTTCGGCAGACAGGCACGAACCGAACCCCTATACGATTTCGTTTGGCCAATGGGACGAGGCCCGCGAATTACTGGCCAACAGGCATCGTCAAGGGAATGGGAATGGAAATGGGAATGTGAATGGGTCTAGGTTAAGCGAGCAAGAGACATGGTTTTATGGTTTCACTTGTTGTTCCTTGGCGGCTCTTGAATAGCAATCGCTTGGAAACGTTGTCGCGTGCCGCCGGCAATTAATGCGTCTGCATGATGGATTTCGTGTATCTGCTTATGGACCTTCAATTTCATATCGTGCATCCCGTATAAAAGAATTCATAATTTATTCATTAACATTTAAATGGCAATGATCGGATTCATTTGCGCTGAAGCCCTCCGCCGGGTCGGCGCAGGTTGCTGGTTAAAGCGGCAACCTTTGCCGCTCCCTTCTTCACCTCGTCGATGGCATAGAGCATGCGCTGGGGCTCCCTGAGGAACCATATCCATAGAAGCATTTTGTAGCGCCAGAACTTGTCTCTCTCCTGAAATCAAGAAATCAGCGATATTTAGACGTTGGGACTACCCAACTTACCATGCGCCCCACGATGTTCTCCTGAAATTCAGTTCGCAGATGTCGTGCTTTCTCATCGAGACGAGTCTGTTCCTGAGTAACACTGTATATTGCATACAAATAGCGAACATTATCTAACATGGGCTGCTCCAGGGGGGAATCATAGACGTAGGGGCTTAGGGTTTGCTCCAGACGTTTGCTAGAAATGAATAGTACGTGACTACCATCCACGAGAATTTTTCATTTACTCACAGTTCCGACAGCTGATCATGGGCGGTGACAGAGGACTTTCTGTTAAGCATGCTCTGAAAAGCGTACGAAAGTAGACGGCCAAACTTTTCATACTCATAGAGACAACTCTTGGCCTCGCTAGCCTGAATATTGTGGCCAAGATGTGCCGCAAGCTGGCTGGCAATCTCCTGCAAGAATTGGGAACAGATGCCTTGGTGACTGGTGTTGATGGAGCACATAGTCTGAACTCGTTGCCAGGTAGCCTGGGCCTGATTACACAGTGCCTCGGAGAAATTATCCAGAGAATTGCGCTTCTTCTCCAAGTCCAACTGGATGATGATCCAAACCAGCTCCGCATTGGACAAGGCATCTGATATGATTTTGGTCAGTTGCTGGTCGCTTTCACGCCGTCGCAGGGCCCGCTGCAACTTTTCTTTGGTGTTTTCATACAGGACCAGCTCGATGCGCTGTTCGGTGTGTTGCTGGACGAGGCTGGTCACATCGTTCATGAGTGTGTCGTGGATATTTTTCAAATGATGTTCGTTGAGTAACTGCAACTCATGCGTTTCCCGTATCATATCTGCTACGCTCAGGCAATGGATCTGGCCAAGATCCAGGTGGTCTATAATGGCCTGAGTTGCCTTGGCCTTAGCCTTCTTCTTGATGAAGGCGAGGGCATAATACTGGATGCTGCAAGGAAGGAAATCGTTAATTTATGACATCTATCATTACAGTCCTTACTGACCCCCTCTCGAGGCTCTCTAACTTTTCCTTCTCATGCAGGATATTCACTTCAGCAGTGCTGAACTCGTTATTCTTCTGGATTTTGAAGTTCTCCTTAATATAGAGCGTAAAATACTGCATGAAGGAGTCGCATTTGAGGAAGTAATGCTCCAGCGGCAGCTGGTGCATAAAGAGCTGTGGCATCGGCTCTGATATGAACGCCTTCTTGGCCTCGCTGCTCAGCTTGCAGTTTTCACTCTGCAGCTCTTCCAGCTGCTTGGCCTTTTCTTGGCAGTCGCTTAACAGAATCTTTTCCGTGTTTTGCAGTGCAGAAGCGGCACATTCCAACTCGATAAGGTTATTATTTATAGTTTGTTTGGTGTTTCTGCAAAGATTAACCATGTAGAATTAATAGGACAGCATTTCTGCGACATTGGGTCACTAACGCCATATTCTCAATTAGTGAGGCATAGTCGGCTGATGCCTCTTGAATTGCTGCCCCCACCGCACTCAGAGCATCCACATCCTGCTGCGTATGGGTGAGCAGACCAGGGTTTTCCGCTTCGATCTCCTGCTGCTTAAGTTGGAGCTCCGACCCTGTTAGCCAGTTCGCGCGATGCTGCATTTCATCGCGCTCCAGAACCTCCTGCTCAGTAAGGATGTTGGAGTCCGTAATACTCACAGACAGGTACTTAAAGAACTTCTCCAGTTTTTCGTCGTAGAGAAGCCATTGATTGGAGCTGTCGATCCCCAGTTTCTTGAAAAGGTCACAGTTCTAAAAAGTATGACTTTAATCGAACTGCATAGTCAACAATAAAAGTCCGATTTTGACTTACGCTAAGAATGTCTCCCATTGTAGCCTGTAGCCCCTTCTATGAACGTTCAAACAAATAAGTATTCAGACAAAAACAAAAAAAATTAAAAAATTCGCGCGTATTCGCAAGCAAGTGAAGTCAAACTAGGGATGAGCGATAAGAAAATATACAACTCTGCCACTATGCTGCAACTACAGATATATGAAATAGTGGGAATTGGAGCACAGCTTGGAATTTTGTGCTTGTACAAAAATAACTCTGTTTAAAGAAAATTAGGTTTTATTTTAATTATCTATTGCTTTTTTTTATTATGCAGCCCTGTATCGATAGTGACATCGATTGTTCTTCCAGCTCTAGTGGGACGCGTTAAGCAGACTTTCTGGCAACCTTACATTGAATGACAAGTAAATTTCTTGTGTTCAATTTTGCAAGTAAACTCGTAAATTTCTAGAAACTGACAATGGTAAGTAACTGCCACACGCAGCCGGTTGTGCATCATTCATGTGCATTTGACTTGTTAAAATGCGGGTATCTTGAGCTTACACTCACATACATATTCGTCTTTTTAGGCGCGCCGCTATGATTCCCGCACCACGATTTTCTCGCCGGAGGGCCGCCTCTACCAGGTCGAATACGCAATGGAGGCCATCTCCCATGCCGGCACTTGTCTCGGCATACTGGCCGAAGATGGCATTTTGCTAGCCGCTGAATGCCGTAGCACCAACAAATTGCTGGACAGTGCCATACCATCGGAGAAGATCTATCGTCTGAACGAGTGAGTGGCATTTGTCTATATCTATAAACAGTATTGAAAATGACTGACTAACAGGAACATGGTTTGCTCTGTGGCCGGTATCACATCCGATGCCAATGTGCTGACCGCCGAGCTGCGTTTGATAGCCCAACGCTACCAATTCAGCTATGGAGAGGTGATTCCATGCGAGCAGCTGGTGTCCCACTTGTGCGACATCAAGCAAGCTTACACTCAGTACGGCGGCAAACGTCCCTTTGGCGTTTCTCTTCTCTACATGGGCTGGGACAATAAGTACGGCTATCAGCTGTACCAGTCTGATCCCAGCGGCAACTACGGTGGCTGGAAGGCTACTTGCATTGGCAATAACTTCGGCGCTGCCATATCCATGCTGAAACAGGAACTGGCCGACAAACCATCCATTAAGCTAGAGGAGGCGAAAGATCTGGCCGTAAAGGTGCTAAGCATGACTCTGGACACCACTAAGCTGACTCCAGAGAAGGTGGAGATGGCCACCCTGCAGCGTGTCAATAATACCACCGTCTACAGTGTGCTGGATAAGCCCGATGTGGAGAAGCTGATCGAAAAGTACAATAAACTGCAGGCCGAAACCGAAGCCGCCAAGAAGGAGAAGCAGGCCAAACAACCCAAGTCTTAGGTAGACTGGTAGACAGCTACATACATACTATACCCAAATTACTTTAGGGCGATCCTTATTTTGTATTTGAAGAACGTGAAATAAAATTTCAAAACTGAATGCGGTCATGGTGATCATAAATATATGATGTGATATGCGTGCATGTTTTTGTAGGATTTATCAAAGGAGCTAAACTGCTTTTCTCATGTACAAAATCTACCACAAGCCGAGATTGGGCTAATTTTCTGAACATTTTCTGACTAGAAAAACTGTGGTGAAGAATCATCATTCTGACTATGACTAAAAACAAAAAGGGAGATTTTGCTTATTTAAATAGGTTTTCAGATCAAAGTTAATGATATTAACATATATGTCAATTGGGTAAAAAAGTATTCAATTTCAATACGTTTAGGCATAAATTTAGAAAGGACCAGACCATAAGAACTGCATCCGCTAATATTGCGATTATATGTACATATGTATATTCCATTCGATTCGGAATAATTGTGACAGTTGGTTAATGTTAGGCACCCATCCGTACGGTTGACTCAGGGGGAAGCGGAATACGGCTGAGCCTTGGTTTTGTTTCATATTTTCAGGTAAATCGCAAGTGTTGCACAAATTTTTTTAAATATTTACTATAAAAGGCAGTTTCCGTCGTAGAATCTTTTATTGAGTTGGAAGAAGTCTTGTCTGGCTGGTCCGTTCCGTAATCATGATTCTCATAAAGTGCATCCTCCTTATGGTCGTCTTTGCCGTCGTAAATACTTTGATTGCTTACAGGGATGCCGGGCTTTGGTATTGGATCCCTCCCAAAACAATCATAAGGCACGATGGAGGATATTATAGAAATAAAACATACAGTTACATTATCCCTGGACGGTGGGAAAGAAACAAAACCCATTGCGCACTTGTGGATGAGGACAATATTACTGTAGCCCTTGGGTATAGTAAGAAGTCAAAAGATTATTGTGGCATTTATTCGTGCGTATGGCATATAGGAAAAACACATGGCCACCTTATCTAGTAAGTAAGCCCCCGAATTATACTTCCGGTTCCTAGCTTACTGAAAAATTCCATTCCTCTCCTTCCTTCATTCTAGCTGCCAACAGCCAGCCACTTTCGCCGAGTGCGAGACGAATGGTATAAACACGGTACTGGAGTATCCGGAATGTTGTTGGAAATGCGTAGAATATAAAGATTGTTAGCTCTGAGGGGCTGAAATTTTCATATTCGTGCAGATCGATCCTATCGAAAATTATCTGACAAAGTGAAAGAAATTTAGTTGGCTAAAATGCAGATACAAATAAAAACGAAATAATTGTTACGTTGGATTAGTATGCCTTATATTTTTACTTACTTTGCTGTTAGTTTATGGCTAATGTTGCCTGAATGAATCTGATTCCATAGAGAAACGAATAAAATCAATTTCACTTAGTTAAGCAAATAACTCAATTGCTTGTTTCGTGGATGGAGAAAAGAACCCAGGCGAAAAGCCTTATTAAAAAAATATACATTTTTTTTTATTTAGCAAAAATCTAGCAAACCTTTTCCTGGTAAATACGAACTAAAAAAAAATTGATCCAAATCGACCCATGAAACATGACCCATAGGTACATTTTTCACTCCATTTTTATACATATAGAAGTTATAAGATTATCACGAAATAACGAGCATACAGAGAATTTAACACAATTTCAAAGATAGAAAACCGCGAGAAAAGCGTACCAAGATTGATCTTAGTAAACTGTTTTACACGGATGTAATCTATGGATCAGAGGTCTGGCATTTACGTTTTTTTTTTTTCTTTGCGGATTGTTAAACTATTATCCGTCCTGACGCTTTGGATATTGGGGCATACGGTATTCCATTTCTTGATAGGCCTTAAGTGTGCAATCAAGATGTTCAAGGACCGTGGTCTTCCTTTTTTTGCCAATGCTGTGGCATTCTTCGTCGTTAGCGGCGTCCCTTGCTTCTAAGCTAATCCGTCTGAATTCGAAGGGCTTCTCGTAGACATGGCGTGCCACCCATTTCCAGGACGTCTTTTGGATCCATCGGAAATGGTAAGAATAATACAGGGTCGACTTAGTGTTGCACACGCTGACAAGCTTGGCATCATCGGGATAGTAATCAACGCGTGGCGACGATGCCAGATGAATTCGGGGCATTCTACTGAAATGGGCGACAGCAAGACGAGTGTCGTGCCACACATCGCCATAGGTTACAGCCCAGGGGTTATCCATTCGCCTGGCCAAGTTGCCCATCATATTGCGCGCTAATGGTATGGTGAGTTCTTTTGGTCTTCTTTTAGTCGTTACCTCTTTCCCGGCACGAAAGGAAAGATCTTCTATGGGGCGCTGTTTGCCATCGCTCCTTCCCTCCTTGTCGCTTTCCTCATTTTTTCGGGAAGGATGCACTATCGGTGGTTTTTCTTCCTTCATTTGCTGGGAGGATTTACGGGGCAGGCCAGTAGGCAGGCTCAAGCTGGACCCCGATCCCGATTTCCGTGTCTCTACATGGTCCTTGTTATTCTCGGTTTTATTTGGCCCCTGAAACTCAACGTGAGGCTCCTTGAGTGACTCGTGTGTGAGTCGAGAGTACTGCGAACGATGGGTCGGCGCAGCTTCTGGTAGGCTTGGAAAGATCTCCTTGGACAGATCATCTATAGGTCGCTGTTTCTTCCGGCTCCTTACCCGCTTGTCACTGTTCTGGGTATTTTTTCGGGGAGAATGCACTATCGGTGGTTTTTCTTCCTTCATTTGCTGGGAGGATTTACGGGGCAGGCCAGTAGGCAGGCTCAAGCTGGACCCCGATCCCGATTTCCGTGTCTCTACATGGTCCTTGTTATTCTCGGTTTTATTTGGCCCCTGAAACTCAACGTGAGGCTCCTTGAGTGACTCGTGTGTGAGTCGAGAGTACTGCGAACGATGGGTCGGCGCAGCTTCTGGTAGGCTTGGAAAGATCTCCTTGGACAGATCATCTACAGGTCGCTGTTTCTTCCGGCTCCTTACCCGCTTGTCACTGTTCTGGTTCTTTTTTCGGTGAGAATGCACTATCGGTGGGTGCACTTGCTGGGAGGAGTTATGGGGCAAGCCAGTAGGCAGGCCCAAGCTGGACCCCGATCCCGATCTCCGCGTCCCTACATGGTCCTTGTTATTCTCGGTTTTATTTGGCCCCTGAAACTCAAGGTGAGGCTCCTTGAGTGACTCGTGAGTGAGTCGAGAAAACTGTGAACGATGGGCCGGCGCGGCTTCTGGTAGGCTTGGAAAGATCTCCTTGGAAAGATCTTCTACAGGTCGCTGTTTCTTCCGGCTCCTTACCCGCTTGTCACTGTTCTGGTTCTTTTTTCGGTGAGAATGCACTATCGGTGGGTTTTTTTTCCTCACTTGCTGGGAGGATTTATGGCGCAGGCCAGTGGGCAGGCCCATGCTGATCCCAGATCCCGATTTCCGTGTCTCCACACGGTCCGTGTTATCATCGGTTTTATTTGACCCCTCAAACTCAACCTGAGGCTCCTTGAGTGACTCGTGAAAGTCTCGAGAGTACTGCGAACGATGGGCCGGCGCTGCTTCTGGTAGGCTTGGAAATATCTGCTTGGAAACATCTTCTATAGGTCGCTTTTTGTCCCGGCTCCTTACCCGCTTGTCACTGTCCTGGTTCTTTTTTCGGGGAGAATGCACTATCGGTGGGATTTTTATCCTCACTTGCTGGGAGGCCTTACTGCTCAGGCTAGTAAGCAGTCCTAAGCTGGACCGAGATCCAGATCCGGTTCTATTTGTCCACTGAAACTCAACGTCAGGCTCCTTAAGTGACTCTTGTGCGCCTTGAGAATGCGGCGCCAGATGCTGGACCGGTGCTGCTTGTGACGCATTTTGACGGATAATCTGGGATTGTGTTGATTTGCGCAGTGTTTCATGGAGAAATGAAAAGAGCAACCCCCTGTACTTACCAAGAACAGGAGGCACAACATGCAGAAATGCACACAGGAAAATCGTATCGGCCACATTGATGATTAACGGGAAGTTTTAAACGAATTTAGTATTTCACTTTTGATTTAAAATAATAATAAAATATATCTACTAATTCGAGTCCATACTAATATATGTATGGTATGGTATGAAGTAAATGGAGGGGCATGCTGAGAAACGTTACAAATGAGTCGATTTTTTATTTTTTACAACGAGGCCAAGTGGCCACACATAGATAATTTGCATTAATTATATGCATTTCACCAGTTGAGTAACAGTGGAGGAGCACCAGAGCAGTCATTGAAAACTCATCCAAGAAATATGTTTCATTTCACGCGTTCTACCAAGAGCAATTTATATACATACGCATATGTACGTACACATGTCTATAGTTATGAAGGAATTACTGTTGCGGCGGGCTGTGGGTAAAAGTATTTGTATTCGTCGGAAGTGTACGAATTATATATAGTAAATGCCATAAGAACAGGTTCATTTGTTCCATTCGATTCTTTATAATTTTGGCAGTTAGCAGCAGCCAAACTTTAATTTTCATGGGAACCGCAAGTGCACTCCCATACAGCAGAATTTTTCTTTTTTTTTTATATATAAAGCAGCGGTAGCTTTAGGCCGTTCATTCAGTTAGAGAGTGTTTTGCCGACTTGTCTTCCCTGCCTGCAATGAATTTCCTGAAAATTATCTTCGTTATTATGTTGGTCGTATCCGGTGCAAATGCTGCGACTTATTACTTCACGAGGACAAAGCTGCTTCCAAATGGTACGAATAGTAGAACTATATGTGATATTAGGGAACTTCATGAAACAGGTGCTCTTGATTATGTAAACATTGGATGGCAAATGCAATCAAGCCGAGTGTGTGGATTACACTCCTGTTTTTTTTTTAATAAGCACCATCCAGCAGCTTCTGATTTTTTGTAGTAAGTACAATTGAGAGTATATCAGGTTCATTGTGTTAATTTAATTTATCAATTTCAGCTGCCAACACCCAGCTCTTTTTGCAGAGTGTGAGACTTATGGAGTAGACACAACAGTAGATTGGCCCGAATGCTGTTGGAAGTGTGTCGATTTTAAAAAATGTTAGCTCTGAAGTTTCGATTATCAGTTCATGTTACAATTATGTATGCAAACATGCGAAATAAATATTTTATTACTCTGAATCCATGTCGAATCCTAATTACTGATTGAAGATCAGCGTACTGTCGCCCAAGCAAAGCGCCTTGGCCACGCCCCACGTCGTCACGTTCTGCACGACTGCATCGAGCTCCTTAGATGGCCTTCCTGTCGATCCGCTTGCCATTCTTTATGTCCTGCTCCAGAACCATGAGAAACTTCTCAATGGCCGACGCTGCTGTCCGATAACCCCCAAGCACACCTCGATGTCTGAATCCGATTCCAATTCTTCTACTGTCAAGGCTCGCCTCCTTGTTGGGTGGTCCAACGGGCGGTTGGCTTGCTATAGTCATCCTCCGATATTCATCGCATGCTATTATTGAAATGATTTGTCTCCAGGGATGACAGCTCATCGATATGTGATTATTAAACCAGGGATTAAAACACATTGATGTTTATTTTTAAAACATCTTCCGGTATAATGCCCACATAATGTAATTATATCGGTTATGATACATATATACGGAATAGAATTACGGAATATTATTAATTCAGCAAGATGATTCCGTCCGATGTATATCGTATAAAGGCAAATTAAGTGAGCTAAGTTTTTTTTTTGTATCGGTATATTTTGAAATGATACGATATATTTTGGTATATACCTGATGGGGGGACGGTATATTTTATCGATACATCGTATTATATATCGCCCATATGAATATATATATCTAAATAAATAAGGGACGTTTAAGTGGGCTAAACTCGTTTTTTTCGGTATATTTAGGTCTGTTTTGGTATATATCTGAGGCTCAGACGCCTTACCGACGTGCAACGAAAACTTGAGTCGTAATGGGCTGTAGGAAGGTGTATGGACAACAAGAAAAAATTGCAAGCTTCGTACTGCCCCCACCTCATCTTCATCTCACTTGTGAGGACAATATACCTTGAAGACAAAATCGAATTTTTGTATATTGGGTATATTCAAGGTATATTGGGCAAAAAGGGTGGATTTTACCGTGCATGCGTTGCATTATCTGGGCCGTTTTGCCTGTTGTCCATACCCCCTTTTTCCTTCCATTATGTAGCAAATGTGTAGAAAAGTAGACTCCATACTCCCATCCTCGTTTATATGTATATATATATATAAATATATATTTATGTACTTGTATATTGCGGGAGAATTGTTGGGGAATTGTTGCGTTGCTGTGGAAAAATGCAATTGTAAATTTTAATAAATTGATTAACGGTTTTCCCTGATGACGTTTCGAGTAAATTAAGTGTGCGCACCGGGTTACGCGTGGAGAGAAGATTGAAAAAACATTTTTTTCCTACGCAGCAGAGGCATTGAACGCGCGCGTGTGTGTTATGTGTGTGTGTGTGTGTGTGTTAGTGCCACATAAAGTTGCAAGAAGCACAGTTATATTTCATGTGCTTGATTTATGCAATAATAAAATCGGCAAATTCAGCTTGTGGATCAAAATCCGAAAGGAAAGCAGAAAAATGTGAAAAAAACCAATGGGAATTTTTCAATGTTGTCAATACAGCGAGAGCGAGAAGCAGCAGCAGCAGCGCCATCCGCAGTAGCCGTCTGCGGTAGCAGCGCTGCCAGCGTCAACGTACAAAAAGTCAAAAGCAAAAGAGGAGAATGAAATAACAGAAAAAAAGAAAAGAAAAAAAGTTGAGCCATAGCAAAGCACGAAGAAACGCGAAGCACGGGCTAAAGAAAAATCGAAATAATAAAAAAAACACGCATACATATGCACGTATATGTAGCTGTTTGCGTGTAGTGAGATTCTGTGCCTGTGTGTGTAAGTGAAACGTATAAATAAAATTCAGCCAAATGCAGAAGCCAACAACAAAATGGATAACAAAACTAAACAGTTGGATTTTAAATTACTGGTAATTAAATAATGTTTACGCCCCAGCCCCCGTTTTACTCCTTCCATTCACCATATTATATACACAGAAACATAGGTACAACCGTAAATGTGTTTGTGTGACTGTCTAATTGTGTGTGAGAGAGAGAGAGAGGAGAAAAACAACGTGTAAAGGCAAAGAAGAGAGCGACAGTGAGATGGAGAGCGTGAGCCAAAGAGAGCGTGTGATAGAAGAGTAGGAGGTGGAGGACGACAGATAACAAATGAAGTGAGGTACAGTGTGCACTGGTCGTATTTTGTTGCCGCCTTTGCTTTTGTTGTAATGTTAAAAGGTCGCCTCGATTAAAACAAAAAAAAGAGAATACGGAGTATTTGAATTTGTTTTAGCATTTTGCTTTACTCTCCAATTAGGAATGCGAAACACCTGAAGTAAACAAAGATAAGCGGTTAATGGATTTTTGAGCGGGAATTGCGGTCATCTTAAGAGCGAGATAGAGAGAGAGCTACTACAGTTAAATGAGTTGAAAGAGAAGAAGAGTGCTGTGTGGGCGCTTTCTTTCTGTGTGCTGTTCTTCTATTCCGTTTATTATTTTAAAAGCTTTAAACGCCCCCTAGCAGACTCTCCCTACCCAACCCATTCAAAATGGATGGGGGAATTCTTGCACAATTTCCACCCACACATATTAAGCTTTCTGTGTGTGTGTGTCTGTGAACTTCCGCCGAGTCTATCTCTAAACCCCCATCATACCACCCCAGTACAAAACCAGACCCCAACCCATCCCCATCGCACTCCCACTATCCCATTCAAAGGCAAAACGCATACCACTCCCATTTCCCCTTCTTCTCGGCTCCCCTTTCCCCTCTCTATCCCCTTCTTCCTTTCAACGAGTGCCACATAATGTTATTTTTGTTTTTTCTATTTGCCTCTAAAATGAATTGTAGTTCCCCCTCTGACATTCTCTCTATATTTTTGTGCTATGCTACTCCCCATTTTTCGACCCATTTCAATATGGTTCTTGTTACTGGGTTGCTATTATTCACTTTTGTTTTGTTTTCCCTCGTTATATTTGAGGAAATATTTATTTTTATTTTTTATTAGTTTATAACAACGTTTACATGGATTACACACTCATACAAAGAAACAAACTTACATTTGCATAAATACTAATACCATAAAAAATACTACTAAATCTAAAAGCACAGACACACACACAACACTCCATCTCGCACTCATACATAGAAATAGAGCCCCAAGAGCAAGAGCATGATTGGATTTGTGAATGTGTGTGTGTGTGGTTTGTGTTGTTCCTCGTAGAAAGTATTTGTGAGAGGGGTGTGAGCGAAAAGCGGGAGGGAGTCACTACTTCTTCCCTTTCTCTTCCTCCTGCATGCATATAAATTTTTGTGGTAGCTCGCTCCCGTATGCAAGTGGAAGTGAGATGGACAACACGGTACGAATGTACGAAGCAAAGCACAAGTGAAAGAAGAAGAAGAATGGTAAACAGCATTGCACAGTGGGGCAAAATTGTTCATTTGTGTACATGTATTTCCATTGGTGGTGGAAAAAGAAGTTAGGGAATTTTTTTTAATGAAGAACTAATGCACTCACTCCTGAAACACATAAAATAGCATTCTCTCTGAAACTAAATTTCTCTTGAATGGCAGTTCAGCTCATGTTTTCCCTTGCAGCGTTTTAATTACTTCTCTTCTCTCTCTTTAGAAACGCAATTAAAGTTTTTTATCGCTATTAATTGGGTTTACGACATGAGTGAATGCTGTCTGAAAGCCGGACGCAGGTCTATGAGGGTTAAAATAGTTATCCTTTTCTAGTTTCGAACTATGGGGCTGCACTGGGAAGCAGCAGACCAAAAGAGCGTACGCTCTGTGCCAATTTCATTAATAATACTCTTTAATTAAGGCAAGGAGGAAGACAAAAGACAGTGTAAAAGCTATTTTTATTTGATTACTAAAACTATTTGGATGCATTCCTATGTATTTGTGCTGCTCTAAAAGCTTTTGGTTGTGTGTATGAGAGGGGGGGAGGAAAAGCAAAATGTATAACATACATAAATTTAGCTAAAAATGCATGCAACGTCACTTTCTTGCCCTTCCCTGTGCCGCCTGCTGCCCCCATTTTGACTGTTTCTTCTATATATATAATATATTATATATGTAAGTAGTATATGAATGTTTATCTGGGTGTGTGTGTGGGGATGTACTCACGTGTTTAGAAATATTTTGAAGATACATATGTAGTCAGTCCGCTTCTATTTATCTTTGGATGTGTTGGTGTGTGGGTGTGCGCTTTGTGGAACAGGTACATGTGTTTGTATGAACCTACATATATAACAATTGTAAACGAACTAAATATTTCTGTGTTGCAACTAAAGCGGCATAAATCAAGATGGAAAATACAGCTGACATCGCACAAAAGTCGACTATTGAATACCCTATAAGAGATTCCATTCATCCTATTTATATTGAGTTGAATGATATTCTTATCCTAAAGAAAGGTGCATCGTATTTTATTTTTGTGGTTAAGGTACATATAAATATGTACATATGTATATCACATCAAGTGCACTACGTCTCTTTCTCTCACTCACACACACGCAAACACACACTAGAGATCATTTAATAAGAACAAAAATAAAATGTAATTAAATGTGGTATTTTGATTTTCGTTTCCCATTACTCTCTTCGCGCGCTCTTTCTCTCCCTCCGCTTTTCCGTTTTCTTACCACACACACAAAAAATGTGATTATAACTGTATGCGTATGCATGTGTGTGTGAGAGCTATCTGCGATCTAAATTTACAACTACTTTATTGACAAATAAAACGCGAGAGTTGCAGCGTTGCCACCCAGTTGCAAGTTGGATCAATGAATTTTTGTAATCATTCAATAAATACAAAACAAAGGGTATTCAAAGTATTTCAGGAGTGTGTACCCGTCGTCGTTTGCTTTTAGCCCTGTCCACCAATACTCCCTTTTCCGTAATTCTGTATTGTTTTCTTTCTTCTTCTCTCATACAGTGGGTGGATGGATGGTGCGAGAGGAACGTGTAGCGAACAGAGAGCCCCACATTGTGCTTGTAACAACTACAAATCGCTGCAAAAACACATACATACACACACATACATTTAGAGAGATAAATGCACACATACACATGCATATATAGTGGAAACATTGTGGAATGGGGGAAAAGTAGCACAAATTGTTCGCTGTTTTAATTTCCCTGCCTCTTCTTCTCTGTCTCCCCACCTTCGCTGTTGCTGTTTTTTGCTTCTTTATTTTTGCCATCTTCGTTGGTTTTCGTTGTGGTCGTGTGTTTGCTTTGCACTAATCGCTTGCGCGAACAGCGCAGCCGGCGTCGCTGCTTCTGTCGCCGTGCTGTCTAACCGTTTCATTGACGACGCGAGCGCTTCTCTCTCTCTCTCTGCTACTACTTCTCCCCACTCTCCCTCTCGTGGCTTTAATGGCATTAAATTGTTTAGAAAATCATAATCTCTAATTGTATGTGATCACAGTTATTTTGGCAAGTGTAGGTTTGTGTGTGTGTGTGTTTAATTAAAACAAATATGGATGTTATGTTCTAATTGGGACAAAACTACTTTGAATTTATGTGGCAACTCTACAAACACCACCTCACCACCCCCCTATATCTCCTCCCCCAAGTTTCTGCTTTCCATGAAAATGGGCGGCACAGGACGGAAGTTGGTAATTTATTTCTACTAGCGCAATAATTTAAGCACAGTGGAGCGAAAACGATTCTGCTATGATACTTCTACGAAATATTACAAACTCCAATATTCTTTGATTCTTCCAGGTGGATCAGTCACTAAATCTACTGGACAGCCTCAATACGGCATTGCGGTGCGATGCTATACAATTTTTGCTGCAGACGCTCAAGTGCAAATATCCGGACGCCTGCGACCAAGTTGTCAGGAATCTATTCAGTCACATAACCAATGATAATGGCGGAGGGCTGGCCACCCACCACGAGCTAGCGAAGAGCGAACAGCTCCAGCAGCTGCTGCTGTCCACCAAGAAGGAGAAAAAGGAGAAGCAGGAGCCGGACAGCGGTGGCGGTTTCGACGGCGCCGGGGCCGGGGCCGATGCAGAGATCAAGCGGGAGCATCAAGTGGAAGAAGATGAGGAAGAGGAGGCCGGTTCTACAGATCTGAACCAGAATTTCGAGAAAATCCTTTGCAAAGAGGAGTTTCTGGGCCTCGACGACGAGGAGGAGGAGGAATTCCTCCATGATGCGGACACAGAGAATTCGTCTTCCCTGCAATTCAACGCTGGCAACCATGTGGATGCACTTGGGCCTGGTGATCCTTTGGATCTAATACAAGGCGGTGGCTCACTCCTGGTCAAACGGAAGTACGAGGCAACTTTTGGAGCCGAGGAAGATGAGGAGGATCACCTGGATGAGGACGCGGCCAGCAGCAGCCCCAATGGCAACAGCAGCGACAGTAAGCTGGTCAAGCGAATGCGAACCAACAACATGCACGTGGCTGTGGCGCTGGGGGTGGGAGTGTCGAGTGTGAGGAGGAAAGAGGAGAGATCCAGCCTAGGCGAGGGCTACGTCTTCCACGAGGACAGCCAATATACGCTGCGATATCACCACAGTACCGGGGAGTTCAGTGAGCGGGCTTTTAAGGCTCAGTTCCGTACTCTGTTGCGCCTGGCGCTGAGTCAGCACCACAAGCCCTTCCTCAAACAGTTCTATGAGAACTTTGTGGAGAATGGACGGCTGCTGGGCACCACGCCTTCGACGAGAGTGTTGAAGGAGCTCCGCGACCAGCGATTGGAAGAGTGGCGGAGACAGCGGGAGCGTCGTCAACTGGTCAGCCTACTGAAGCAGAATGAGATTCAGCAGCAGGAGATCCAAAAACAGCAGCAAGAGATTCAGGCGCAACAGGAGCTGCACGACGATGAGAATCGGGAGCAGGAGCAGGAGCCGGAGCGTGAGCAGGAGCATGAGCAAGAGTTGCCCCCACAGCTGCCTGCCATCTCTTTTGGCGACTCGGAGCTGGAATCGGAAACGGAATCACAGCTGTCGTCGGCAGCTCAAGAGATTATGAAGTTTGAAGAGTTCATTGACGACGGTGTAGGCGCAGGACGTCTTATCGATGGTCTGGAAATGGAGCCGGAGATAGATGACATGCTCGCTGGCGCCGGTAGTGCCCTGTGCAGCGTAAACAGTGCGAGCGGCCACAGTAGCAACAGCAGCAACAGCAGCAGCAGTGGGAGTGGGAATGGTAATGGTAATGGGAATGGAATCGAAGTAAGCGGGGTTGTCCTGGAGAACAATAGTCATCATTCGCATCACCTGTGAGTAGAGCTGCAGCCTGCTTCCCAGAATACTTGCTAATATGTCCCTTTCTTGCAGAAGTAGCAGCAGCAGTGCAAATCTTGTGATCAACGGCCTTACGTCAAGCAATAGCATCAACAGCAACAACAACAACAACAACAATAATAATAACAATAATGGCAATCTCCACTGCCCGCCAATATCCCTCCACGGGCAGGGGCAGGGACAGAGTCTGGGATCAGTACAGGAGCAAATAGCACCAGGCAAGCCATCGCTTCATCTGCCCATGACCATGACCTTGGAGAGCAGAGACCTGAAGGGCAACAGTCAGCAGGGACATATCATCATGTCGGGTGGAGGAAGCTCTGGGACCCACGCCAATGAGATTCAGCAGCTGCATCAGCATCCAAATCACTACAACTCGAGCAATAATCCCCTCTCCATGATGGGTGGCATGATGCAGCAGCAGCACGTAAACATGCAGCACCAGCAGCAGCAAATGATGCAGGGACAGTTACCACAGCATGGGGTCTCGATGATGAACAATCGTCAGATGCCTGCACTTGTTGCCTTGTCAAATCTGGGAGACGAATCTCCGGTTTCGAGCAATGTCTGTGGCCAGATGAACTCCTCGCTAGAGCTAGACGACAATGATCTGTCGCCCGACGAGGATGACGACGAGTTGGACACCAAGCTGGATGAGCTGGATGCGGCCAAGCAGCAGCTGATCGATGGCGGCAGCAGCAGCAGTACCTCTCTGCAAGCGCCACCTTCTCAGCATGGCAGCGGAAGTGGCGGCAGTGGGGGACACACGCCCGGTAGCAAAAAGGATAAGCCTATCTACAATTGCCTCTTGTGCCCGAAGTCCTATCGCAAGCGAAAATCTCTGCTGGATCACTACAAAATGCATCCAGGCTTCTGTCACGATTGCGGCCAACCCAATGGCAACACGTTAGAGGTAACAATATAAAAAGATAAATATAAAGGATGAATGAGGGGGGCGGGGGTTCTGTGATTCTGTGCTGACCAATTAATAACTTTTGTATTGTTTGTTTCTCAGGAAATAATCCATCACAATCGGACGATGCACGTAAAGGAGTTTCCGTTCGTGTGCGAGATCTGCGGCGAGTCTTACTCGCGACAGCAGCAGTTTCACGCCCATGTCGATTCGCACAGCAAGAAGGATTTCAAAAGTGAGTCGGCGTGAATGTAAATTTCACCAAGTTCTCCTGAGGAGTGGAGTCCAGTCCCTTGAAATGGAATCAGCCTTATTTTGAATGGAAGCTGTATGTGAAACTGTTGATCTAAAATTCTGTTTTTTGTTACAGCCTTTCCGTGCGGCGAGTGCGGGCTAAAGTTTCCGCAGAAGAAGCTGCAGCAGCATTTCGAGGAGACTGGCCACAAGGCGGACGGGGCCATTTGCGAGGTTTGCGGCGAGGAGTTTACATCAAAGAATGCCCTCTACCAGCACATAATACGCGTGCATAAGCGAGACAACTTCTTCGAGTGCCACATTTGCCATAATCGCTTCACGTTGAAGGCCAACCTGGAGCGGCACGTGCAGCTGCACACCGAGGTGAAACGCACTTATGTGTGCGACATGTGCGGCTCATCCTACTACACATATCCCGCACTCAGGGAGCACTACAGCAACGCGCATGTGGATGTGTCCGAGTGCAAGTGTACGCTGTGTGGTAAGCGCTTCGGGTCGGCCAAGTCGCTGCAAAGGCATCTGCCCTCTCACTCGGAGGAGCGACCGCATTGCTGTAACTACTGCGATCAGGTGGGTTCTACGTCCAAGGATCCTTCTGAAGCTTTTTTTAAATCTTTAACCCTTCACAGACCTTCAAATGGAAGACGCATTTGGTGCGGCACAAGCAGACAATGCATGGAAATCAAACGCCGCCGCCTAAGAAGGGAAAACAGCGCTTCCCCAAAGCTAACGAAGAAGGTAATGCATCTGTTTCGCCTCGAAGGGTTCTGTTCTAACTGCTTTCCTTGCTTCTTTCCTTCCTTCTTTTCGCCAGCTGAAATGGCTGCTCTGCCGGATATGCCAGGTCCGCCGCCTGTGAAAGCCAGCAAAAAGTCAACGGCCGGAAAGGCAAAGTCACAGGGAGCAGCAGGCGCAGCAGGGGCTTCCTTACAGCAACAGCAGAAGGGAGCTGCAGCAACGCCCACGCCACCACCCCCAGTCTCAACGACCCCAGGATGTCTGCAGCAGGATCAATTCAATGCGGCGATGGTCAGCAGCAACAGCTCGCAGTCCTCGACGGCCTCTACGTCCCAGCACTCGGTTTCTACGAGTGAATCTCAGCAGAATTCCATCTACAATCAGAGCTTTAATGCTGAGAAACTGCCGCCAAGCCAACAAGCACCGCCGCCGCAACAGCAGCAGCCACAACCACCACCACCACCAAATGCTTTACATCAGCAACTTCCAACGCCACCTCCAACACAACAACAACAGCAGCAGCAGCAACAGCTGCGTGCCAGCCCGGCTGATCTGCACCTGCAGCGAATGAATAGCTTCGGGCAGGAGGGGCAGTTCCACTTTGAGGCTGGCCAAGCGGCCGGAAGCTATCAGCAGCACCAGCTGATCAGTCAATATCAGCAGCAACAGCAGCAGCACCTGAGGAGTCACACACCTCAGAGTCCTCATCCTGCACATCCTCCACATTCGTCGCAGATCCAGCAGCAGCAGCAACCGCAGCACTTTAATTCCCCTCACCATATGCCGCCAATGCACCACCAGCACCAGCTGATGATGCAGCAGCAACACCGTCATAGCCAGCGCTCGCCATTGCACCACCATCCCTCAACGCAGCAGCTGCAACAGCAGCACCAGCAGCCGTCGCATTCCCCGCAGCATGCGAGACTGCAGTCGCCGCAACCTCCGCCAGTACAACAACAACAACAACAGCAGCAGCAGCAGCAACAATTCCTGCAACAACAGACCGCAGACTCTTGGGGCAACATGAACTTTGGTAATCCGCCTAACAACCAGCAGGAGTTGAAGGATAACAAATTCTATATTGTAGACTCGGCCGAGTTTCTAGGGCTTCCAATGAATGTGCCGCCAGCCCAACAGCAGCCGTCACAAAATGTGAGCAAACCGCAGCAGCAGCAGCAGCAGCCGCCGCCACAACCACAACAGCAGCCCCAACAAGATCCAGCTCTAGCTAGTGATATGATGAGCTTCCAGCATATGTGGCCAGCGCCAGGTTTCAGTCAGAGCCCTCAGCAGCAGCAGCAGCCCCAACAGCAACAACCGCAGGGACAGTCCAATCCGGGAGATCCCCACAATTACAACAACATCGGCAGCATACTCACGAATCTCATTGACAATCCCGCGACAATGGAGTACAACTTCGACTTGATCCAGCATCAGCAGCAGCCGACGGCCCAGCAGCAGCAACAGCAGCAAGCAGCGCAACAGCAACATCACAGTGCAGGAGGCTATCCGGGAGCCTTGATGAGAAGTGGCGCCGTGTATGGGGGAGCCTATGAGCAGCACATGAGCGACCAGTTGGTCAGTGAGCAGCAAAAACAAAACAGCTTTCCGCCCTATCATTTGCATGGCCAGCAGGCACAACAGCCGCCGTTGCACCCCCACTTACTGCCCCTGGCGGCAACGCATGGCAACGTTTACGAGCGAACAGGAGTCGGGGTGGGCGTAGGCTACTCTATGCTAGGTGACGAGTCAAAGGCCGTCCTGCCTCCGATGATGGGCGGAATGATGCAGCAAATGCCCCCTCACGGACAGCAGCCAGATCTAATCTACTATCCAGTGAAAAATGATTGACAGGCGAAGCATTCCCATCCGCATCAGCAGCAAGCTCCAGCTCCAGATCCAGACCCAGCTCTAGCTCAGGAACAGCAGCAGCAGCAGCCGAGCAATCACCATCATCATCGCTGGTGGACGGAGGAACCAGCCAAGAGAGGCGATGTGTTTCATTGAGGAAACCAAGAGACATTAGAAAACAGGACAGGACACGAAAGCGGAACAAGTTCGCTTAGATAGTAGGTGAATGTGAAATTATGGACGCGAATACTTGCGATGCGATTGAGAGAGAGTTGTAGATAAGGGTAATCCACATGATTTTTGGAATCTAGAGCAATACAATACAGATTAGAGCGACAAGTGCTCAGAATTCTAATCCGACCGGCGCTATGATACGTGTATAAATGTAATCATTTACAAGTACATAAACAAACAAAAGTAAGAGTATATTTACGGATATACATATATATATATATAGTATATCTACAGACATATAAATAGTAGAACGTAAGCGAAAGAAACGCGAAAAATTGAATAAAAAAAGCTATAAATAATAACTACGTATACATATATAAATTATATGAAACATATAAACACTAATGTCTAAGTAAACTACTAACAATAACGGCAGACCACGAGCAACTTTCGAACAAATTTTATGCTTATTTAACATTTACCATACGAGCTATGAATGCATCATACAGTTGCATGTTGCATGCAACACAGACACCCACACACACACAAATACGTACGTTGATGTATAATCAAAACAATCCAAACATTATATCCATGCATACACTACACTACGATACGATACACATACTCGTACGATATCTACATATGTAATCCGGAGACACACAGAAAGACCCCCCTATATATTGTAGATGAGATTTATTTGAGCTTGGGTCGGTTCGTCGGGTCGCTGGGTCATGCATCACGAAAACCACAACATTAGTAGAAATGACGCTCATAGCCCGGGCCAAACGCCACACAAAGTTGTAACCATATCATGAGGCCCCACCACCCCCTTCCCGTATAATTAATTGTACTCTCGATAGTACTTGTTATTTTCTATTTAGTTAATGAATTGATTACGATTACACTTGTAAAGCCTTTCCGACGATCACCGCCAGCCACACTTTTGTTAGATTAGTGCCTAAGTCTAGTTGATATATCCCAATGTATACCCTCAGCATCTTGTGGCTTTTTACACCCAATCCTTGTATGACTAGAGCTATGTATTATGCATACCCCATAGCATTTCCCTCCCTCCACTCCAGTCCACACCAATCCACTCTACGCCCCTCCAAATTGAGTTATTTTCGAGAATTTCCTTAGAGTCAAGACAGGCAGGCCCCCAAACATTTAAGTTAATCAGGATAGCGTTGTTCTTGTTTTACATATTATCCATCAGATCCAGCAACATAAGAATTGTACCATTAAGTGAAAGTTTAAAACGAAACGTTAAATGTTTAAGGATACTTTTATGCAACAGCAACAGCAAACAAACAATACAAACAGCAACCAACAGCAAAACTTCACTAAAATTAGATTTGTATTCTGTATACAAAAAAAAAAACAACTGGCAATTAAAAGAAAAAAGAACACGATATAAATACAATTTGTATATTTAATAAAAATAGCAAAATAAAAGTGAATAAACTTCTTTTAAAAAATGAAATAAAACGCACTTTTGTTTGTTTTTGTTCTGCCCAACATTTGATGTATATTTATTTTAATAACCATTTAACAATTCCCAAGATCTGCCCGTAGCGCCTAGCATATGGTTAGTTAGCGCCTCCCATTAGATTAACCATACGATTCTTATAACGCTTCGAAATATCCTTCTCGATGTGTGTCTGTAGAGTACGGGTTTGGGCAATCAGTTCCTCGAGTACGGGATTAAGCTGCAGCCGTTGCTCCCGCAGCTCGACGGCACGCTGCTTGAGCCCCTCGCGCGTGGATCGGAGCTTCTCCACGGCCTTGGTCATCTGCTGGAGCTTGGTGGCAAGTAGATTCGCGTACTTTGACGAATGCTTTAGCTGGAATAGATGGCGCGTTTGCTCATCGGAGGTCTGCTGGATGATTTTCTCGATGTAACCGAGAATCTTCTTTATGCTATCAGCATCGTGTGTGGCAATGCTGTCCATAAGCGAGTACATAATGTTGCTCGAGGACTCCAACTGATTGAGCTCATAGAGGCGCAGGCGCAGGAACGATTCCAGCTCGAAGAGCTCGTCCAGAAAACGATCCCGATAGTTGGGCGAGTCTAGAAGTGTGTAGGCTTGGTCACCTGCAATGGATTTGGAATGGATTAGCAGCTGGTGGAGAGATGAGAAACCCATATCAGCTATCAGCTTACCCTTGGCCGTGCCACCATCCATGCCAGTGCCCTCCACCACGATCCCATACTCCTCGACAGGAATGTCAAAGTTGATTTCAACAGCATCCGATGCTGGGGCACTCTCGATGCCCCAATCGATGTTACCGCCATCGGTCTCCGGAAGATCTACACCTCCAAAGTCACCGTAGTCAATGATTTCCGCCGAAACGGTGGAGGATGTTCCGCCATTGTCATCCGTTCCAAAGTCAATTTCGGTAACAGCGTTATCCCCCTCTCCATCCTTGGAGGCGATGCCTTCACTGAGGTCTAGGCTTATGGGAGGCTCTTCAACGGCCAGGGGTGCTTCTTTGTGAATGTACTGATACACTGTGGTGTTTCCAAACTCGACCAGATGCCGAAGAATGGGTAGCGACTGCTTGTGCCCACTGATCTCGGCATACATGTCGATGCCGTTCTGAATCTTGCCAATATCCTGTAGGGACTTAGTGTAGAGGTCTGGCAGGCCGGCAAGAACCTCGATAAACTCCGCATGTAGATTGTCTCCTTTGACCCCCAGCTGTTCCAGCAAGGCAGCATGTTCGGCCAGTAGCTGACCTTCCGGCTTGTGCATGTCTTGGGCTCTTTTAAGGCTTTCATCGGTAAGTTGTTCCAGTTTTGCCATTTGCTTTCGCACCCCAGGTATCTCAAAGTTTACATTTCGCACAAATATCTGAGCCGTTTCGCCCAGATATGTAGCGTTCTTTTCGTACAGGCGGCATATCTCCTGCCAATCCTTCATACGCTGACTGCCGTAGGTGCCAAAAACGCTTTTAGTATCCTTCTCCGTTTGCTTGAGGATTTCAATTATCTCTTTCACATGGTAATAGTTGATATCTGTAACGAATTTGATGGATGAAGACACCAGAGCACAATGGCCTTGCCTACAAGGTGGTGGTAAAAAAATACCCGACAACCCTCATCTGCCTGATGCACTTTCAGGAAACTCCAAAAGGCAGTTTTAGATGCAGGTGACCTGTTGTCGGTATATATGTAGGTATATGTAGGGTATATATATGTCGGTATATGTAGGTTATATCGCTGTTAAAGCTATAGAAGGAACCGAGTAGCTTGGATGACGAAGGCAGTACTGTCTCGAGGTGACACTCGACATAAAGAACACCTTCGATTCGGCGACGTTCACCTTGCGCGTTCCATGTCATTTTCAGGGCCCTAACTCGGATAGGAATCTCAGACTATCTGATAGCCATCATCGAGGTCTTCTTCAGAGACTGCATGCTGCTATACCACACCGACAACGGCACCGTGGAGAAGCAGGTGACATGAGGCGTTCCCCAAGGCTCAGTCCTTGCGCCAACCCTATGCAACGTGATGTACGCCACTATCTTCAGGCTTCAATATCAAGAGATACCCGCACAGTAGGTCATGTAGAAATTGAGAGAAATTAAGGTCTAAGGAGGGGTTCTCTAGCCTTCTTTAAATTTAATAAACTGATAAAAAATAAAAACAGGGCACAAGCTACTCACTTGCTTTCGACAATAATTTAATGAGCTGTTCATTAGACGGCATGTCCTGGAGGGCATTGCTGATCTTAGTGTGAATTTCCTTGATCTCCTGTTGAATATTTTTGGGCACAATCCTGCGGCTGATCAGCCAGTCTTGCAACTTCAGAGTATGGATGTCAATGGGAATCTCAGACTCCTTTTTTTCGAAAACCGAACATTTAACACATTTGAGAGCATGATATGGCTAAAACGAAACACACTTACATTCATTTTGCAGAGATATAATATTTGTTTCTGTTCCACGCAAGCAAGCTGCTTTGTTGTTATTTTTCGATAAAATATACCGTCTCATTTTCTAAATATACCGTAAATATACTTATGACAAAACAAACTTAGCCCACTTAAGCCCCCTCTATTTGAACAGGTGAACAGCTTGAGTTAGACGGTAAATAATTCTAATGATAATATTTCCTCTAGTAGATCCATCCATCCTATCTTTCACCTGAAATGCGCTAAAATTCTTCAAGATTCATAATTTTCATAGATTGCATTTTTATATCCACTGGTCGACAGTGGGTTAATCGTTAGTTGTCTCTGTCCAGGACACTAGTTGCTCGCAATTTGGTTACGTATAATTGGTTTTTAAACAAAGATAAATCAAAACCCAAGATTATTTCTGTTGTAACTTGCTCCTAAAGCAATTCTAAACCTAAGCTGTAGTGTAGTCATTGGCAATTGCTGCTGCATCGGCATCGTCTCTGAACATCTGGGCCACTTGTGCACTTGGCAGAATCTTCTGAGAACTTCCCGTCTTCGTTTTCCGCCAAATGTCCCACTCGACTGGATGCATTTTCTTCTTATGCGAATGCATGTTGGCATTCGAATTGAAGGTGCGCGGGCAAAAGGGACACTTGTACAGAGGTTCACCAGTGTGCTGGGCCATGTGCTCCTGAAAAGTGGTGCAAATGATAGAAAAAGTAACAGCCATTTTACGCATTGTGTTCTCACTTTTAGGCTTATATCTTTCTTGAACGTTTTGCCGCACTGTTCGCAGGTGTAAATCACATTCGAGTGGGAGTATCGCTTGTGGCCGATCAGCGCACGAGAGTTCTTGCAGCTCTTGCCACATTCCGAGCAAATGAAAAGCTTGCCTTCGTCGTTGTGGCGCCTCAAATGCTGCTTGAGGTTATCCTCATCTTTCAGCCAACTCTCGCAGTCTGGTCGCGGGCATTTGATGCGTGGCCCACTCTCCTCAAAATGCAGGCGAACATGTTTTTCAAAGACGGCCTTATCCTTAATACTCTTGCCGCACACATGGCACACATTCGCCGCTTTGCGATGCTGCATGCTGATGTGCACCTGCATATGGTATTCCGTTGCGAAGCTGTGGAGTGGAGCGTATGCTATATGGTTTTCTTCGTAAATGCATCCAAAGTAAACAGATACTCACGCATTGTGCTTGGGGCACTCGGGACAAATGAACTTTCTCTCGTTTACTGGCACGTGGGAGCCCTTATGCAGCTCAAGGAGATTACGGCGGGAGAAGCGCTTTCCGCAGTCCTCGCACTGGAAGTCGCATTCCTCATCGGGAACATGGTGAACCAGCCAATGGGCGCGCAATACGCTGGAGTTGGCGAACACCTTGCCACAGTCCTTGCACCTACGGAATGAGAACCGAGCCAATTAAAACTGTCTACGGATAAGAAATCGAAAGCCCAGCACTCACTTAATATACTCCGGATTCTCATGCCTTCTTGCGTGCTCTTGTATGAGACAGCGCTTATTTAGCTTCCGGCCGCAACATTTGATGTAGGGCCGTTCGTCTGGATGCTTCTCCTTGAAGTGTTCCCGAATACCGTCGAAGTCTTCAGCCAAAAATATGCACAGCTCACAGCCCATCACAATGTATCGTTTTATGAGTTCTTCATCTTCCTTGCAAAACGGCGGCAAGCGTTCCATCTTAAATACTCTTTTCACTGGCTTAGGTTTCTTAATTTTAGCTTTGCTCTTGTTTCCCGTCTGTCCAATCTTTTTCGTCTTGGCTGGCTTGGCGACTCCTTCCCTCGCTTTCCGTTTGCGGCCACTTCTCGTAATAATTAAATCGTCTTCCTCATCTTCATAGTCAACATCGCCATCATCATCATCATCATCGTCGTCGTCGTCGTCTTCGCCATCATCGTTGTTGGGTTCTTCAAGGCCAAATTCCAAATCTGGGGATTGCCGCTCAGTTTTGATGTCCAGCTTACTGTCGACTGGAGATTCCGGCGACAGAGTCTGGCCTAGTTCTAGCTCATCCAGGGGATTCACATTTATCTGAGCACTCACATCATTGTCCACAGACAGCACATCGGCTGGCATGAGTACTTCCTCCGGCCAGGATGTGTTCACCGCCTCGGGATCCTGCTTGAACTTCGAGGTGGTGGCATAAATAACTTGAGCCTCTTGTATGGAAATATAAAACTGGTGAAACTCGGACACCTGGGTCCAGCAGACATTGCAGATAACTTTTGATATCTCATCGTTGGGCAGAACCTGGCCAGAACCATACACATTTGTTTTTAGATGTAGTATCTATGATTGTGTGTATAGTATAGGAAAGGAAGTATGGTTCTCACCTCGAACCAGAAATGCTGGCGCAGCACTTCGGCCACTTTGTTGTCCGTTGCATTCACATCGAAGATCTGTAGACACATCTGGGCCCCGCCGATTCCGCGCAAACACAAACGGCAGATATCCATTTTGCATTTATAAATTACAGCATCTATTATTAAATTTATTCAATTTTATTGTAGAAATAATAGAAATTTACAATGCGATAGCGATGGGAGTCTCTAGCAAAAAAATCGATAGCCTGCCTATCGTTCGTGTTCTTCTCTGTACCTCTGCATCCGTGAAAAAGTATTTAAATAAAAATGAGTAAACAAACCAATAAAGCACCCAAAGATGCAGCGGCCTCGAAGGTAACATCGCCGCACGGCACATTTGCAGTCCTCAGTTGCACGCTATAACATTTCACTCTGATTTGCAGCGAATAAGCGAGAAAAAACTAGAGGCTTTCACAGTGGGCACATTCTCGAAGCCGCATTTGTCCAAGAAAGAGATTGAGGAGCAGAAGAAAAAGGAGGATGCGGCTGCCGCGGCACATGTAAGTGCATAGGTAGCTCTCTCTCTCCCTCTCTATTGATATACAATTTGATATTCTAGGCCTTCAAAGAGTTCGTGGAAACGTTCCAGGAAGCACCCACCCCCTCGTCCAAGGTGTGGGTGAAGGCCGGTACCTACGATGCAGGCTCCAGGCGTGAGGACAAGTCGGAGAAGGGAAAACTGTATAAGCCTTGGTCGAGGCTCTTGGATAAGGAACCCGACAAAATCGAAGAATACGCCAAGACGCTGGCTTCAGATCTCAAAAAGGAGCCGCTGAAAAAGAAAAATCAGGAGAAGAAGAAAAGCAACTTGGAGTTGTTTAAGGAGGAGTTAAGACAGTAAGCTCGACTACCATTCCTACTACGATTCATTTATTCATTCATGGTTATGCCAATTTCTTTCAGGATCCAAGAAGAACGCGAGGAGCGGCACAAGTACAAGCACATGGCCGTATCACAGGCTCCTCCAGCACAGCAACAGCAGCCACAGCAGCAGGCGGCATCACAAAGCAGTAGTAGTAGTGCTTCCACCAGCTCTCAGCAGGCAGCAAGCAACGCGCGCGAAGTGGGATCGTTTGACACCGGGGATCCCAATACTACCAACCTCTACTTGGGCAACCTAAATCCGAAGATATCTGAGCAGCAGCTTATGGAGACTTTCGGGCGCTATGGTCCCTTGGCGAGTATCAAGATCATGTGGCCACGTTCCGATGAGGAGAAGGCGCGTGGGCGCAATTGCGGCTTTGTCGCCTACATGAGCCGCAGGGACGCCGAAAGGGCACTTCGGACCCTCAACGGCCGCTACATCATGGGCTATGAGATGCGTCTGGGCTGGGGTAAGACGGTGCCCATAATGAACACGCCTATATTTGTTCCACAAGCGCTAATGGAGCTGACCCTTCCCCCGCCGCCATCGGGACTACCATTCAATGCACAACCGCCCGCGAGTGAGGCTGATACGTTACCCAAAAAGAGCTACAAAGAGTACGACAGTGAGGAGGAAAAGGAGAATATGGAGAGGGTAAAAAAGCACATGCAAGAGGCATGCCATCAAATAGTCCCGAATTAAAATGTTGTATTTTTAGATTCTTAGCAAATCAATAGTAAAAGTCTTCATACCTACAGAGAAGTAAGAGCGGCCCATGATAGTGTATGGTCTTTATAGAAACTAATCTGAGCAAAACTCCTAACTCTTCTTCCAGAGCTGTGCTTAACGTTATCCATCGTATGATTGAGTTTGTTATACGCGAAGGACCCCTGTTCGAGGCATCGGTAATGATTCGCGAAATGGAGAATTCGCTGTTCTCGTTCCTTTTTGATAACGAGAGTCCAGCCCACATATATTACCGCTGGAAACTCTTCTCTCTGTGTCAAGGGGACACGCCCGGCGAGTGGCGAGAGAAGGAGTTCCGAATGTTCAAGAATGGACCCGTTTGGAAGCCACCAGTGGCTAATTTTTATACCCAAGGCATGCCCGATGAACTAGTTGTTGATCCCGATGCACCAGTCGTCAGCAAGGGAGCCCTGTCCAATGCACAACGCGATCGACTCGAGGATCTCATCAGACACCTAGTACCCGAACGTGCTCGCATCGGGGATGCCATGATCTTCTGTATTGAACATGCTGATGCTGCTGATGAGATATGCGAATGCATTACCGAGTCTATGGCAAGCCTCCATACGCTTCCGTCGAAGAAAATTGCACGTTTATACCTGATCTCTGATATACTGCACAACTGCACTGTGAAAGTCTCCAATGCCTCGTTCTTTCGGAAATCGTAAGTTAATCAGTTATTTATTTGCTTTTAAGTTGTTCTTTATATTGTTCCTGTACTTTGCAGCGTGGAAAAGCAATTGATGGACGTGTTTGAGTGTCTCCATGCCTATTGCCTGAATATTGACAGCCGCCTCAAGGCGGAAGGCTTCAAGTCCAGAGTCTGCAATGTCATACGCACCTGGGAGGAATGGACCATCTATCCGAAAGAGTTTTTGGCTCAGCTCAGATGTAAATTCCTGGGCAAACAGGTTTGTATAATCCTTCCCCCTTTGTTTGCGATGAAGTTTTTCATTGTGGATTCGTCTTTAGTACATTATCCCGCCCAGTTCTCCACAAATGGAGGAATCACGATCTGAGGAGGCCGTGGACGAAGATATTGACGGAGCACCACTATCTGGCGACGATAAAGATGATGAGGACTTGGATGGTGTTCCATTGGACGGTGCTGCTTTGCTCAAGAGCGCCTTGAAGCTGGCTCTGCCAGAGTCTCTCACTCCTGAGCGTGACACGCCCAACAGAGAGGAGTACCATGATGAAATCGATGGCATACCCTGTAAGTACTTATGAGTAGGTAATCGAGAATACGATGTTATTCTATGCGGAATTTCAGTTGATGAAGACCTCGATGGTGTGCCGCTGGAAAAGGAGGCCAAGTCGCATGTTAAGCTGCCTGGATTTATACCTTCAAAATGGGAGACAGTTGATCCTCAGCAGGTGGAGGCCCAAGCCATAACGACTAGCAAATGGGACACACTAGATCCGCCCGACCCGCCCAAGTTCTTTAGCTCGGATGAGGACACTGACGATGACAGCTCGCAACAGTACAGCGATGAGAAGCGACAGCAGTTGAGGGACATTGAATTAAAGGCCATGCAATACCAAGATGAACTGGAGTCGGGTAAGCGACGCGTGGATGTTGGCTGGACGGTCGTGGAACAAGTAGACCACTACCGCAAGCGCTTGTTGAAACAGGTATGCGCAGGCCGAAAACATTTCAATTAGTCTTCCATTTGCTTATATTATAATCTTTTCAAATAGGATTTAAGATCAGAGTCTGTCGTAGACTCTCCGTTGAGCTACATGAACACCAAATTAAAGAGCTCCAAGCACAGCCAGAGTCCAGTTCCATACAGAAGTGCCTCTCGCAAACGGTCTCATTCCCCTTACAGCGGGGGAGATAGCAAGCGACGTGACTATTCACCGGATAACTCTCGTAGTTCAAAATCGTCCAAACGCAATCGTTCGCGGAGTGACTCCGATTCTCCAAAGCGCTACACGGAACGATCCGCCCGCAGTACGCGATACGACAGTCCTGCATCTACTTCTTCTCGGTCCCGACGATCTCCGTCGCCATCGTACAGGTCGCGATCTGACCGCCGGGAGGAGGCATCGCCTACGAAGCATCGTAGCGAAAAGCACAAGCACAAGCATAGGCACTAGAGTGTGTCGTGATTGGACTATAATAAAATTCAAATCAATTCTGTATGAAAACGCATTCTTTGTTGGTTTAAAATACATGATATATTGTAAATCTAAATGGTTTGCATAGGCTCTCCTGTTAATATGTCGCATTCTCACACTATATCATGGCCCAAGTAGTTCGATTCCGTCCTGCGAATTTTTCTAAAAACTTCAATCTAAGCAAACTAAATATTTAAAACTGTTGTGATTGTTAAGGAAAGCTGGCCAACCCGTGTCCTCGAACTGCCTGAGCCGAGCGCTAGCGCAAAATGTTTATAATCTTAGGGTGAATTCAGAATAGGTCTTAATAAGCTTAAAAGTAAATACGAACAGCCTCTTCGGCATTCTGCTCTACGGGGCAATATGGGCATTTGAGTATGTGGCCGTTGCTGAGCTTGTGAAGGGCATCGTTGGAGATGACATGACCACAGGTCAACTTCTTTGGCGGATTGTCCTCGGAGGTCTGCTGACGCAAGATGGGACAGGCGAAGATTGAGTGGAAGCGGAATTCTGGCTGGAGATCGATTTCGATGGGCAGCTCGTCGCAGCCATTCCACATTCCCAGGACCTGGCGCGATTGCATCACCTGCTTGATGTTCAATAGAGCGGGAAGGGCAGTACATCCAGCATTCACAACAACAGACAAGGCAGAGTTCTTACTAATGCCCAGCAGCTGGCAGGCATCCTTAAGAAATATAAACGATAGTTCAGTCCACATTTCCTGGCCCAGGAAATGCTTGTACGGAGAGTTCTCCAGCCCGGCAGGCAGATATATAAAGCTGGCCATCAGATTGGCTATCTCGTGCTCATAGCGCAAGGCAAACTTCTTGAAATTCGTCCGGGCATAGACAACGGCCTCGTTCTGCGACTCCACGCCATACGAGACAAGCTGCATAAAGCGCATGCGGTGCAGCCGAAACTCAATGAGAGAGTGCCGCTCCATGAGCTGTGGTGAGTAGCGCTTGGTCCACTTGAGGGCTTCGGTCAGCTCCCGCTTCTGTATCTTCATCCAAATACTATAGATATCGGCGAACTCCCGCTCCGAGTCGAACACATCCTGGGCTTGATCCTCTGTCATTTTGCATTCTTTGATCAAAGTGCGGGCCACCGTGTCCATGCCCTGGCGGCAATAGTGCTTGGCAATGGCCTTGTTTAGCAGCATCAGGTTCTCCTCGTCCTGCAGGACATCGACACGCATGGTGGATGTAAAGTCGGCGCTAAAATTACGATCAATAGCCTTCCCAATCTTTGAAATCGAGCCGTGCAAGTCACGATGCTCTGTGGACAGCTTCTGCACCCTTTCATTACATTTTAAAATGGCTCCTCTGATCACCTCCATGTGGCGATCAGTGGGACGCTGCGGCGCAGTTGGTTCCGTCTCCACCTGCATGCTCACACCATCACCCATTGGGTCGTCTACGCTGGGAGCATTTGCATTCACCTGAGTGCTCGAGTTAAGAGTCGTTACCATTTGCTCGGCATTTCCAAGGGCATTGACCAAGTCCGACATCAGCATCGCAATATCCCCTACATCGGCCGAGGCATTGTCGCGCAGCTGCTCTAGTTTGGTAACAACTCGGTCGAGATCCTTTTCCACCGATGAACAGGCCCACGATTCGCTATCCATTGTTTGCTCCACTTTCTTTGTGACAAAATAAAAAAAAACTAGCCACGCCAGGCGCGCTTTTCCTTTAGACTTCAGGCCAAAACGAACTCAATTCTCGATCTCTGAGGATTTTTCCAAGGTCTATGCTAGATTTCACCGTTTAGCGGAATATGCGTATTATTTAAAAATTGTTAATTTTATAAATTATAACACACACAAACATTGCGACCAGTGTGACCGTGGACTTATCTCACTTTCAAAATATACCGTAAATATACTGACAAATTCAAGTTCTATTTTATATATTCCTCGATTTTGATATTCCGTGGAATATTACTAGCTATATAGAACATTTAGCCGTGCCCACATAAATTTAGCCCATTGATGAATCAATTTTCTACTTAACTGGCTTATTTTTATTACTTGCTTTTATTGTATTTTGACTAAAACAAGGTTTGAACAAAATAGTTCAACAAAAAATCAGTCGCAATGTTGCTGGTATTTAAAGACATGATGAGTGTATAGGTCTTTGTACACCCTATTTCCTTAATTTTATATGAAGATGAAACGTGATTTATAAAGAAATTTTCCCAAATTGATATTCTTTAGACATATGCAAGTACATTACTAGTATCTTGTATATATTTATCTCGATCCTGATACCTACTGAGCCTTGGAAGACAAACGTGTTCACAGTTCTATAATACCCCTTTCTCTAGGGTATGAAAACTAGTGTTGCCGGTAATCATTGTCGTCAACCGGTTATTTATCAATAAATACTCGTTTTTGATCTTCCGTCGAATATTACTAGCTACCTAAGACCCTCAGGTCTGAACTCATAATTTTATCCAATTATTACATAAATTTCCTACAAGACTGGTCAACTTTAAGTTCTCATCATTATTGGATTGTTTATAAAATAAGGTTTAAGCAAAACAGACCAACAAAAATGTCCACTAAATTAATTACCTTACATGGGAACTACACGTTTGCTACATATTAACTACATTTTCATGTAATTACCAAAGGCGACACCTGAAGGCAAAATGTGTACGTTTCAAACATTTTTGCCCGTTTTTTTTTTCATATAAGCCCCATGGCAGCGCCAGTGTGAAAAAGTTCCGTTATCTACTATTTAATATGCATTTTTTCCGACATTTTTGAAAAAATTGAGGTTTTGATGGAAAACGATCAGGAATTCGATGCTGATCACGAATTGGTATTCGATGTGGCCTGGGATATGGCTCTAAGGGGCTTTTCTACACAGTTTCTACATGGGTGCTTTGGTCAAGAGGGTGGGTACATAACGCGTCTTAAAAGTATACGCTCAGAAATATACCAAAATATACCGTCTCATTTTCAAAATTCACCGTAAATTGGTCGATATTGTCTCTGAAGATCTGGCAGCACTGAAAAATCAAGCTGAAAAATCAATAGTCTGGCCATAGCATGCAAAAATGCTCAAATTCGCATAACATAACGACAAACTCGCAGTTTTAAATTAGCAGTAATTAGATAAGTTAACGAATATTTAAATACAGTCAATGTATGCACTAACGAAAATGGTAAATATTGTAGCAAAATATGTATAGTTTCTTCGCAAAAAAAATCAAATAAACCGCCAAGGACAACAAACTCGGACGCTAAAAATTCGAAGTATTAAAAATAAATGATGAATACACGGTTTAAGCTGTGCGACATTGAATCCTGTTTCAATGCCGTGTCTCCAAAAATAAAATAACAGCCAACATTCCGAAGCGCACGAGTACTTTTGGCATGCTCACGAAAATCCAGGTCCAACGACTCCAACGGTTAAGACAGGCAAAGCTAAAACAGTGCGCGTACAAACAATTTTACTTTCGCTTAGTCGCAGTCGCAGTCAGTGCGTTTGAAAGCGAAATGGAAATGGAAAACGTTTGGGAGAAACCCCGCAGAAAATTCATAATATATATATGTATAAATGAGTACTCGCATACAAGTATGGGTGTGCCAATGTTCGCGTGTGTGTGATAATAAGAGAGAAAGAGAGAGAGAAGAAAGCTGTGAAATAATGGAAACGGAAAAATATCAAAACACAAAATATATATTCAAAAATGCTCGGAATGGGAAGAGAGCACTCGCACTGCTCGCCCACAGCTAGAAATGCCCCCGGTGCAGGGGCCCACGTTTCAAATCGTTTTGTCGCACTCATTATTTGATTTTATTCTATTTTATTTGACTTTTGCCGTTTTAGCGGCCAAAATAACGGACCAATGCTCGCCGACGATTAGGAAGAAGAGCACACACACGGCAGAGAGCGCCGTGCAGTCGTGCCGTCCGTTTTTAAAAATTCGCTAATAGTTTCAGAAATTTGCCTGGCTGGCCAGTTCGGGAACAACATTCAAACTTTGCGTAAGATCTTTCGCTCCCCAAGTCTTGGGGCAACCTTTGCGTCCGGGCAACACAGATAAATCCATATATCCATAAAGAAATTGAAACGTTTTTGGAGAAACATTTAATATTATTTATGCGGTCGTTAATTGTGGCAGCGAAACTGAACGCTGCCTACTGTGATGTGATTTCTGTGGGCAGACGGAGAGGAAAATAATGAAAAATTATTAGACGGACCCAAAAGACCGAATTGTGCGAGCTAAAAATAAAAAATATCGGGACTGCTATTTATGTAATAAAGTCTTTTTGTTTTTTTGTTGTCCCACAACAATATTTTAATGTACACGACTTTGCATTGTGATTCTTAATTCGAGATCAATGATCAGTGAACGTCGACCTGGGGTGAACTGGAGCGTGTTACTACATTATTGTACCCCAAGTCTATGTATTGTATATTTCAGATAATGCTTTAAACGTACAGAAACCCCATCTACAATCTACAATTAACAAAAATGAGCCAATGTCAAAGTTAACCGCAAACTGGAGCCACATTTAGCAGCTGCATTCAGAGAGCAAAGCATAGCAATTCAACGAACCAAGCAAATCAGATCAGGAATACTTAAGCCTTAGGTTTTAGCTTTAACTATAGGAGAGGAACGAATAGGAAACGACTACGAAATGCCTTCAGCAGCCACGAAGAAACGGCCATCCGTTGTCAAGGAGGAGGAGGGTATGACGCCCAAGAAGACGGCCCTGATCATTGTCACCGTCATTGGATGCATTGCCATATTGTGGCCAAAGGTCTTCCATCCCATGATGTTCGGTTCTGCGCCGCCGCCGCCCCCCCAGCAGCAGAACTTAAAGGAGCAGAGGAGCGGGGCACCGGGCGGTGAGTTGAGTGGCAATGTTTCCGCAATTAGAATCGAAAATTTATTAGTTATTTCTTTTTATTTATTATTGTCTCTGTGCGCCTCTGTGTCTGTGTGTGCGTGTGTGTGTATTTGTGTGTTCGCCTGTCCTGTTTGGTGTTTTAGGCTGTTGTGATGTTGTGCTCGACAGGGAACAGTTCATGAACGCAACGAAGCCGGATGCTGCCGTACCGTTTGGGCCCCACCTCTACCGGAAACATATTAACCTGTACACGGGTGAAATAAGTAGGTCGCTCCCTCCATTGGAGCACAGCACTTTCCCTCCATATCTCCGTTAATAATCGAAATCGGTATTTGCATTTCTGCTTTAACTTTTAAAGGGCTTTTTTCACTAACTTTAAATCGATTCGATTTACCTAACAAATCCCTACTATAAAGGGTCTGTTCTTCGCATACCCTAACCTCATTTTGTGTTTGTTTTATTTGAAAAGGCAAAGCCGAAAAGTCGTAGCCGAAATAATTGATATAATAATGTTCTTGCCAGGTCTGCGACAGGAGCGTCCGGCCCACCTACATCCAGAGTCCATATACCAGGCGATGCGGGAGCGTGGACGCGCCATACCAGCCACATCCACCGTGCCCATTGTTGAACGCAAAAGTTCAGCAAGTAATCCGCCCCCGCGCATCGTAGACGGACGGGTGAGTTATGCTATCCATCTTGCATTGTGCATTGTTCTCTGGAACGATGATTACACTCGATCATCCAATCCCGATGGTAATAATGGGATCGACGATGGAGCGGATGAGACATCATCGCTCTCGTTGGAAGTCATTTATAAATAGAAAAAGTTTATTTTATTTTGGTTTTGTTTTTGTTTTTATGACACTGCACGCAAACTGAAGGCAAAAGACAGCGCAAACGAAACAAAAACTGTAAAGGATGAGTGGGAGAACAGAAAACTGTGGGGTTGGGTTGTACGAGTACATATTGAACTTGTGCCAAATTCAATGCGCCAGTTCCATCTCATCTCATCTCATTTCATAGTAGTCTGTGCTCTCATCTGTACGAGTAGCACACAAAAGAGGACTGCAAACACAGAGAATAAATGAATTGAACTATATGTTGCCCCTGTCCGAAACCATTGAGCCGGATACAGAAATATGAATGCCACAAGTTACAGCATGAATGGGTGTTTTTTAACAATTGCTTTAGGAAAAGTTTGCCGGACTCATGGTGTATTCTGCTCTAAATGATTATCCAATTTAATTTATATCCTATAATGCTCTCGTCTTGCTTCTTCATTCAGCCTGGTCCCATTCCTGGAATGCGTCCTCCAATGGGAGCCGGAGCTCTGCAACAGCCCCAGCAGCGGGGCAGCAGCATGTGCTTTCTAATGCCCCTCTACACAATCGGAATTGTCGTTTTCTTTGGCTACACGATAATGAAGGTAAGGATTTATCCTGCAGATCCTCATTCAAAGAATTCGTCCCAATCTTGTTTTTCTACACAGATTGCTTTCAAGAAGCAAGTCCCCAATGCACCATACGGACCAGCACCATCGGATACCGGCTTTCGGCAGCAGGTCTTTGGCCAACAACAGGAACACAGCCAGGTGGAGGATTTGGGCGGCACCAAATTGGGTGAGTTTCCAGACTAGTTCCAGTCACTTTTATTATTTATTCTTCTTGTAGTTCTTACACACCACAATGCAGCAGCCACACAGACCAAATATCCATCCACCATATACAACACACAACCCGTAACCCAAACACACACCCACCAGTCGATCCGATCCTAACCGAACCAATCATTTTTGTACTTTTCTGCTTCCGCCCATGCACACATCTGCATCTGTATCTGCATCTGCATCTGCCCTATGCCTACATATGCGATAAGGCTGGCGAGAACACCAGACAAGTAAGCCACATATGGATAAGAAGATCCGAAGAATTTTGTTCGTTTCTTGATTTCGGTTCTAGTCCACTGCGTAGTCGATTGGATGATGGCGAAGGAAAACTTCGCGCCCATTCTTGAGTTTTGAAATATGTCCTCCTCATTTGGTTTAGTATCTTTTTGCGGATATATATGTATAGTTTGTTTATTGTGTAGATGTGTACCTATTATGTATTCTAGATGTTGTATATTGTATATATAGTAAGTAAGTGTTTACTAACTCATAAACCAATCACGAAATCACAGATTTAGTCACGTCCCCCCACACATGAATATATATGTAGTTTGTTCTGATTTGCCCACCTCCCCTCCCCCCCCTGTAAATACATTAGTTTTCTAGTCTCGTTTGTCCTTTTGGCGTCAAAATCTCAATCTCAAAGCAAAACTCGTACGAAAATTTTATAGGAATTGCAGCAGTTAAGGCGAAGGCGCATGAGGCCCCAACGAATGGAAGACAGCGGAGCCGAAGCCGGAGCCGGAGCCACGACGAGGAGCTCTACAATGCCAGCGTGTCGGCCACCGAGGTGGCCAGCAATCTGTCTATCTCCCTCAAGCACCACCAGGAGCAGATGGAGAAGGAGCAGCTGATGGAGATTGAGAAGTTGCGCCAGAAGCTCGAGGATACGGAGCGGGCGATGGCCAAGCTGATTGCCGAAATGAACACCGATCAGTATGAGGCAAAGGTTAGCATCGTCACAACAACCACCACAGTGCACTGTTCCGATATGGGACCCAGATACAGATTACAATAGCATTTTCTATATCATTTTTGACGATCGTAGCGTAATCAGCCAGGCACCACCGCCGACACCATTCGATATCATTTATTAATACTTATCCTGTTTCTTTGTGTTCTCATTTTCAAGATGATTGCCATGAAGTTTCTCAAGCGGCAGCCAAATTTCTAAAACAAAAACAAAAACAACATTCAATTCACATAGAATCAATCAATCAATCAGACCAAAATTCAGATCAAAGATCATACCTAAGTACAAGCCAACAATAGATTACTTCTTGTTTTTTCGGTTTCAAGTAGATAGATGAAATGAATTGAATTGAATCCTTTGGAATGGTTCCCCTTGCTCCCCTTCCCCCTTTTCACGATCAAAATTCTTCTTCTATCCCCCAGCAGCGGCATGTTAACCGTTAACCTTTACCCCTGTGTATAATATCATTGTCTCACTCTCACTCCACTCTCTCTGTCTGTAACTATTGCATGGAGCGGAACTTTCTCTCTCACTCTCTCTCTCTCCCTCCACCGCTCTATCACTGTTCTACTCGTTATTTTGCTCGTCTGCAGTCTATCGGCATGCGATACGATATGATACGATACGATTCCTTTTACTAACTAACTTTAATGTAAATGTAATACCTGCACCTCTGTGTCTAAACTATTTCAACTAAATTCTTATGATGGGGACATATTTTACAATTCAATCTGGCCAATCTCTATCCGAAATTAATACTAGTATTCTCTAGAGTCTAGACTGAAACCATCACATTGCCAATAAACTCGTACTCATGCCATTTTATATGCTATAGGATTTACCATATATAAATATTCACATATCTGTCGTTTCTACGTTTTCCATGTATCTCACTCTCATGTGTAATCAAACCAATCGAAAAATGAAATGTTTTGTAATGAAACGAAATCTGTGATACCATGATAAACGAAACCCAAACCGAAACGAAACCCGAACTTTTGTATAGTTGTAACGGCGATACAAGGTTTGATAGACGCTGCCGATGAGCAATTGAACGTTCGAGACAAGCAGAGGAGTGATACTGAAACTGATTTGAATAAGGTTAGAGGCCGTCAAAGGGTCCCCACACGGCAATGCAATCGTTGAACATTTTTTGAATATTTTTTGATATACATATGCAATATCTGAATATCTGATTATCTGAATACCTGAATATATCTAATTACGTATTCTTTCTGTTAATTAACCAAGAACCTTCGTCTAATTGAGTTTTTCGTTGCGTTTCACCTAACCACAAATTGAAGTAATTAATTTCTCGATTTATGATTTTTAATGTTTGAGGCTGTAGAAATGCTTGAGTCCAATCCGGAGATTTATGTGCATCTCTAACAGAACTTTTCATATGCCCAATCCCTAGCAAAACGACAACGAAAAAACGAAAGATCAACTGGAGAAGGACAAGGAGAAGGACAACATTTCCTCCAATGGGCATGCAAACGTAAACACCACCGACCAGGGTGCGGATCCGGCTGCAAAGGGAGTCAAACAGCAACAACAGCGAAAGCGTCGGGACCTGAGCGCTGAGCGGGAACTAACGGTAAAAATATATCTCTAAAATATATATTTTTGTAGATTTGTTGATGTAAATAACCCATTGTTGGCTCAGGTACTGGGCATGGAGGTAACAGCCAGTTGCGAGGGCGGCCGCAAATGGACCGGACGCCCTCCAACGCCTGTTTTCCGAGCACCAATCGAACATGTAAGTGCCACGGCAGCACCAGCACCAGCCCCCCCGCAGAACAGATCCAATAGAAACTATAGCTGTCCAACTACTAGCATTGTGCTTTGCTAAGAAAATAATGCTTACACTCTTCACAATTCCAGTCCAAATTGGAAGGAAACCTACCCGAGCCGCAGTCCATTTACTTGGAAGGCGCTCTGGCACACGATTCTCAGATTTTGGTGGCCGACGCCCAGACCAAGCGCGAGGAGGTCTACGACACTGAGCTCAATGGATCCGCCGAGGAGCCAGCCGTAAGAGCAGCGCAGCACTCTACTCTCTCCTTTCTGAATACGCGTTTCTAATTGACTATTCGACTATTCTCACTTTCAGGTCATTCTTAGCAGTAAGATGACATTATCATTGATTAATTTGGATGCAAATCAACAAAATGGCAATTGGGGCAAACCCGAAATCGAGAGTCCCCTGGCTGATGATATCGAAATAATTGGGCACGACGAGCAATAGAGATACTAATACTTACATACATATACAAATACAAATATTTGTATCGATGATGACCTAATTTGGATGGAATTATTGCAGGAGCAGAGTGAACTAATTAGCAAATTACGACTGATTAACATGAAACAGAATTGCCAATAATTTGATATCTAATTTGTACATATATACATATTGTATTGTATGTTTTGATATATTCGTTTTGCTTTCGAAAACGCCAACACGTACATGTACATGTACTGGCCCCCCTCCAACTGCTCCAAGAAATTGTGCCCCACTTTGGTCAAACGTACTCAGATTTGCCCTCGATCGCCTGATTTTATGTGAATAATGTTAGTTGAAACTCAAGGCAAGAACTAGTCTACCACTAAACTAAGCGCATACGATAAATTCGAAAATCGCATCGTCTATTATTCTGCACTCTACTCGTATAATACTTTTGCATAATACCCTTCCTCTCGTCACGTTGCGTGGGAATGAAAAATTACCTTAATAAAAAGCGTTCTATTGCACCTTATGAATAAAGGACTAGTGCCACAGCGTTTGTGAAGCTAGTATAGAGAATAAATTATAAACCGGACTTGAAAACGAAAAAATGTACGCTCATTTACTGATATTATTGAATCTAATATTAGAGAGGGGGCTCTAAAATCTTTTCATTTAGATTCACTTTAACATTAAATATAATTTTGAATCAACCGCTCGATTGAAACAAGTTGCTCCATTTCGCGCTTAACAGCACCTCGTTGCCTCTTTAGCGCTTAACAGCACATTCCGTGCACTATTTTTCCATTGCATGTGTACACACTGCCCATCAGCTGTTTGTAGTAAAATCTTGGCTGCGTTTCTGAAATAATTACGTAAATATCGGCAGGTTAGTGTATTTAACAATAATTATAATTGAATAGTCCATGATGTCGCTGCAGACATGTCCCGCAACGCTGAAGACCGCTCCCTGTGGTGGCTAAATTGCAGCGGGTAGAATAGATTCCCATGATTTTGCTTGTTGCTAATGATTTGTGTATTTTTCCTTGTGGTAAACAGCCACCATGTCGATCTTGCGCTCCAAGTACTACGATCATCCCGAGGGGGAAGATGCCTTTGGCAAGACTGTGGCCACCAGCAAATACGCCGTCGCCGCCGGCCTGGCCTGGTCCACAGTCGATGTGCTGACGCTGGCGAAGCCAAAGGGCTACCTGCCCACGCTGGGGCGCTTTGCCTACAACACCGGCCCGCTGATAGGTATGGCCACAGCATTTACTATCACGACACTGGCAGCCACCAATGCTCGCGGAAAGGATGACAAGTGAGTGGGCGATGCGATACAAGCTTGGACTGACTGACTCCCCGGAGTAACGATTATTTTAATTGCAGAATTAACTACTTGCTGGGAGGATTCGCTGCTGGGAGCGTCTTCGGGGCCTGGAAACACAACCATGTGGCCGGTCTCTGTGCTGGTCTCTTCCTAGGTGAGCTTCCGCTACCGCGTTTCTTCCCATTTGCTTATACTCACCCAACGCTGTCTCTGTCTCTTCCACAGGCATTGCTGGTGTCATCAAGAAGATGTCCATCGAACAGGGCTGGGAGTTCTTTCCCGACACACCCACCAAGCAGTACGGCGGCCTCAACATAGCCCAAAACGATTGGACCATTATGGCCGATCGTCCCAAGGGCTGGACCTCCGAGAAGCAGTCCTAGACGTGGAGTCATCGTTCTTATGTTTAGTGTAATGATTCAATTAGTGAAGGATAAGGCCAAATTCCTGTGCGCCCCGAATGCAGCTGCAGCCGAATAAATGCCAAGTGAGAAGTGATAATGTCAGTTGAAGCCCAATCTGCAGTTGTCCATTCCCAATATCAAATGGTGCCACAGACAGGCCAACAGGCACGGCTCCGTGGGCCTCATAGATATGCAAACCAGTCGAATGTGCCACAAAAAGCTTATCAGCTCTTGGCGTGAATGAATGACGGCCGGCCCAACGACTTGGTGGGACCTGGGGAGCCGCAGCAGAAAAAACAGAAAACTAAAAGAAGCATGGGGGAACGAGTCACGCTCCTATGTGGTTCCAACAGTTTATTTCTTTATTTTCGACGGCCCATTTAAAAATCCATGAATGTGCATTTACTCATGTTTGGGCCTTTTCACTTTATGTACGCCACGGCTTTCGTCGAGCCGGCCGTATGAGGTGAGTCATGCCGCATGACAGATGTACATATGTATGTACGTCCATGTGTACGTCTTGGGCATACTAATGCTACTTTTCGTTTTGGGTTCCTGCTGAATCTATTGCTTTAGCTCAACCACCAGAAATTCCCTTTGTGCAGCGAGGTTTGGCCAATACTTCCTCTACCTTAACCTTTGCCAACCTCAGAATCTCTGCGCAGAGTTGTTGCTTTGGCCCGGGCTTGTTTTGCTGTTTATTTTTGCCGTTTCGCCTTTCATACCTCCTCCTCGGGACGGACCAAGGCATCTTGGGCAGGTCTTGGCTTTTTTGTTGGCTGTTATGAAAGAAGAAAGTTTGGTGACCCTTAAGCCGACAGCCGTTAAATCTTTGGTTTCGACAATATCCCTCCTTATATAAGTGATTCTGATGTATGTAATAATGATGCTGGTGTTATGAATGTTCTGGCTGGGATGGGGGCATCGTAGAACTCGCCAAACATTTCTCTCGCCACTCACCTTGATCTTTAGTCCATGTGGCCCACATCCACATCCACAACCCCGCCCGGCGTTGCCTTCCCTCCTCAGGCTGGAAACCAGTCGAGCAGCTTGCCCCGAAGCAAATTAAAGTGCGCCGAGCGGAGAAGACTCGCGCTGAATCTGTATCCGAATCTGAATCCGACGCTGACTAATCTGTGGCAGCTGGCTCTGGCTTTGGCTCCACTTCACTCCATTGCATTGCATGCTGGCTCCGTGGCCGATGCCGATGCCGATGCTGATGCCCCAACTGCTGTCATTGCCTCTCAGCATGTTTGAGCATAAACTTGAAGATTTTCGCGATCGCCTCGCCTCGCCTCGCCTGGTGATTTATGGGAGATGAATGCTGCGGGAATGGAATGACATCATCATTGCCAATTCGTCTTGGGACTTGTGAAGAGATGTGTGTGCCAGAGTACTACAATATTCATCTCGGGCTACGATAAAAGTTAATTAAAAATAAAATATGTAATTGTTTTTACTTTTCATACTTTCGCTTCCTGGCAGACAGGGGAGATCCCATAAATCCCATAAATATGGAATGAGTTTCTCTTGGGGTCTGGTCTGGTCTCCATTCAATTCCAATTATAACCCTATAGCCCCTTATCAGCACACTTATTCATTTGTTCCCCTATTTCCCAGTGGTAGTGGAGTGGTGGCTGCCTCGCGTGCCACCAGGAGCTAAGGAATCAAATATGCTAATTTCCGGCAGGGATTAATACTTACCCCCTGCCTGCCTGGTGCATCGGAGGGGTATGAATATAAAGTACCCGAAAAGCTTTCAAATTAATGAAACACTTGAGCTGAGCCACTACTCGCAAATGGTAACTTTATTTGTAATGTCAAAATATTGAATTGAGGAGTTGCCCAGCCACATCCCTTGCCCTCGCCTCGCTGCCATATGAATGTGAAGTGGTCACGCAGCTAGCTGTATGCCGCCGAGCTTCGAGAGTCGTGTCTGGAGATGGAGCAAGACGCTCGTAATTAATCTTATTACGAGCAATGCGACTGCTCACTCCATTGCAGTGCACTGGGCTGATGCGTTTTTATGGAATTGCGACTCGTCGGCCCGGTCGCTGCCGTTGCCGCTGCCGTTGCCGCTGTCGTGTAATCCCTTCAATAAAACCCGCGCAATTCAGGCGACACCACTGTCAATTAATCACATCGCCAAGACGACAGTGATGCCGTCTCTGTGTTCATCTCTGCATTAGCATGGGCTCCGGGCTCCGGGCTCCTTACTGCGGCGTGTCAGCATCATCTGCGGGCAGACAAGACACCGAAGGTTGCACTCGAGGGCCACAATTCTGCAATTAAAGACACAAAAGATACAGGCATATTCACATATTTCTACACAAATATTTATATGTATACTTTATGCATCTAAAGATTCTTTCTTTAAGTGTACATACTCGCACTAATCGGCATCTTCAATTGGTGTCAAAAACTCCAACGACTTAGGGAACTGCACAGTGGGCTGTGAGCATATGCACATCTGTATGTACGAGTACCAGTTCCCTTAACATAACTTTTCATCAATGGGAAACAGTATTACAGCCACTGTGCTTAGCCACAGACAGAGATCATGTTTGTGCCTGTGTCTACGGAATCAGGGACACAATTCATCATTGGACACAAAAACATCGCGAGTCGGAGAGCTTCGGCTTCCCCAGCTGCGGAGCTACGTTGCCACAACATTTCTCTCTGTTTGGTTGCAATGACATTCAATAACCCCCTCCTCCTCCTCCTCCTGCTCCTGCTACGCTCCCCAGCCCCATCTTCCGGCAAACAGACAACAGTCTCATAAAGCGGCCGGCCGCTTCGGTATTGTGGAAGATGCAAATGCAAATGCAACAGCCTCCGTTGCGACGGACGGGTATATGTACGAGTACATGTACATGTATATGGGTATCAGATTCACTTAACCCGATCCGCATCGGGGTCATAAGTGCAGAGTAAATAAAACATTTTACGGCCTCAACGAACGTGCCTACCCAAGCCGAGGCCGAAAACGAAGACGAAAACGAAGACGAAAACGATGACGAACTCCAAACAAATGAAGTGATTGAATGCGTTGCGCCGACGCAGACGCGAACGCAGAGGATCGGAGGAGAGAGCGGAGACATCGACAAAATGACAGAGCACGCGTTGGAGTGGAGTCCCCAGTTTGCCCAGTGAAAAAGAGAAAGATTGATTGAATTTTTGTTTCCTTTTTGAGTTCATCACTTCAGACAATCTGAATACTCGAAATGTTTTCGGGGCGCTGCTTTTACATAGTCCATCCATTATACGTATGTTCTTGTAACCGCGGGGGGAGAAGGGAAGGAGGGAGCAAAACAATCTATCAAAATGGATCGCTGGGAGGCAGTTTTTCTTCTACTTCTAATGATGAGCGTTTAGTTACATACTACCAAAGCGTAGATCGATTTGTTCTTGGGTCATGCTTATCATATATTAAATGCGGTATAACGCATATTTCATTGAGATGAGATTGACAGATGTGTTTATGCTCGAATCATCTCGAATGTGAAACATATTGCCACTACCAGTGTTTACTTTGTGGCGAATTGTATTTGAGTTGGTCGTAAAACTACTGAATAGAGAAGGCAGGGGATGCCAAAGCAAACATCAGGGCGGTGCGTCGGGTATGCCATGCAAATACTTGTGGAGGAAGTGCATAAATCAAATGAAAATTCGTCACATACGACAGCTCCCCGAAGGGTCTCGTCTCGTCTCGTCTCGTGTCTCCCCTTTCGGTGCCTGCCAGACACGCAACATTTGTTGTAAATGAAGTGAGACACATGGAACTTGGGGCTTGGTTTGGTTTGGTTTGGTTTGGTTCGGTTCATGCCATTGCACAGTCGTCAGTCGGAGTCGGAGCCGGAG